CTCTCATACTCGTTCCCAGTTACCATGCCAGCCCCACTCATTACAAATATGCCATAGTAATTCATACTGCACTTGTTATTTCTTTTGTCACTCTCCCTCAAGAGAAATATGGCTCGAAAGTAATCAAAATTTGTATCCCAATTTTTATAAATCCCGCTCTCCCACAACTTCGCGAGGCCCTTCTTAATAAGCCTGGTGTACTCGCTGTTATCCATGTACCAAGGATACCTCGTAACTAAGGGGTTCTGCCCGAGTTTCTTCTCTTGGATGACATATTTCGTATACCGACTCATCAAAAGCTTCATCCTAACGGTATCCCTTTTCACACTAACAATGCAATGCCGTGAACTGTTTATCTCCAATCTTAATGGGACAAGTTTTAATTTGTTCACATCCAAAAATAAGCGGACCCGTATTTTTGCTCTAGCGATAATGCGCGCATTTGAGCGCCAGGCGGGAGATTCAAATAATTTTTCAGCCAAATTTTCGGATTTTAAAATCGCTATAACTTTTTGAATTTTGAATTTTTAAAAAATTAAAAATATGTATTCTTAGAATTATCTCCTATATTTAGTAAAAATAATAGTTTTTGGAATTTCTAAAAATTTCAAATTTTATAGATTTTGCAATTTTCCAAGAGTTTTAAAATTCCCAAAACTTGATAAAAATTCGAGTTTTCAAAAAATTTTGAAAATGGATTTTTAAAAACTAAAACAGGCAATTCTAAGCATACATGTTCTTAAATTTTTAAATTTGCGCCAAAATTCAAAAAGTTACAGCGATTTTAAAATCCGAAAATTTGGCTGAAAAATTATTTGAATCTCCCGCCAGGCGCTCAAATGCGCGCATTACCGCTAGAGCAAAAATACGGGTCCGCTTATTTTTGGATGTGAACAAATTAAAATTAGTCCCATTAAGATTGGAGATAAACAGTTCACGGCATTGCATTGTAAGACAAGAAAATACCTGGGGCATCGTAATCAACCCGCTGTCCGTATTAACAGGTTTGCCCTGACTGATGTTCATCACTACATCATACGCAGCGCCTGCCAGAAACCGAGCTTCGTCTTGGAAACGGGCATAAAACTTGGCATACTTGCCATCAGCATCGGCCAGATCGCGGAGCACGTGTTCTTTCAAGGTTGCGCGATTTTGTCCCCTAAATTGATGGCGGGTATTGGTTGTAATTAAAATTCCTGACACATTTTGGTTTGAGGACACAGTTTTTTATAAAAATGGGCGACTTTGTGATTATTTTATTAACATTCCATAAAATTTTATATTGAACAATCTTATTTACTGTATATGTGCATACAAAGTGTTTATGTACATTAAACTTGATTGAAATTAATGAAGCCAAAAAATGCAGGAGTTTTCTATGCAAAAGTTAATAAGATCAGAATTACAATATTTGAACATTTCTAATTGACGGTGTCGACGGTGTCAGAAAAATTATGTGGTAATAAATATACTATAGGTGACATAATATAAATTTAAATTCACAATAAAAATTATAAATAATTTTAATAGCGTTCAACAAAAGAAATAAAAAGTTAAATGAAAAAGTTTCATAACTTTTATACGAGTCACTTAATATTAAAGTTAGATAAGGTGACCTGAGATGAGACGAAATTGGAATAAAATTAGGTGACATCTTGGTGGTCTCATTGAAAGTCCAAGTTGTGAGTACAATGGGCCAATTTGAAACTTAAATACTCTTTTAAATAGTAACAATTATTTGTATTTAACGTACTTATTTCCGAATTAATTTTTTGACGCTTTAACAATCACGGCGTTTACTGTGTTTTTCAGCAGGCTTTTTTTAAATGAAACACCCTGCTGCATGCTAAATACAATGTCTCAAACCCAAATTCAAATGTACTTGCTTAACCCTTTCGTCTGAAAAAACTAATATCATTTCGAAAACTACGAACACGAAATTCCTCTCCTAACATGCGTTCCTTCGTGTCGTTTTAATTGCTTCAAAGTTTTCGCCACTTTATCGCACCCCTCAAACCTACATCTGAACCCTTCCCCACCACTGTGCTCCGATTCTGTGTGCTGTTGTAGTGATATCCTTCTCAAAAACGTCTTTCCGCATGAAACGCACTCGTACAACTTACGATTGACGGCATGATGCGAGTCCCAATGGCTTTGCAAAGTGCACTTCATTGTGAATTCCGCCCCACAAGCGCCACACTTGTAAGGTCTTTCCTGCAAGTGGAAGCCAGAAATGTGAACCTTCAACCCGTCCCGGTTATAAAATCCTCTTCCGCAGAAAGTGCAAGGAAAAGGTTTTAATTTAAGATGTACCCTGTTGTTATGTTTGTTTAAGGATCCCTTCGTCAAAAATTCCTTTGGGCACAAGTCACACTGAAACCTAGCCCGAGCCTTGCAATGGGTCTTTTCGTGATTTCGCAAATTGCTGCTTTGCCCGCTGGTATACCCACAGTTTAAAATCTGGCAGGAGTATGGGCGCTCCATAATATGAATTCGGAGATGATTATCTCTCTCCTGATGGGTTTTAGAAAGTTTGGGACAAAAATAGCACTTCAGTCGGGCCAGATGAGTCTTCTGGTGTCTGAACAGGCTGGTCAGATCATAAAAATCCATGACACACTTATCATGTTCGCACTTGTGCCGCTTTCCATGCATAATTTTCCCATGTTTTTCCAATAACTTTAAGTTGGAGAAGATTTTCGCGCATTTTACACAACTAAAATCTGTTTGGCGGCCGTGAAGAGCCTCGTGACGTCTCATGTTTCCCTTCAAAGTAAACTTTTTCAGACAATTCGCCACTCCGCAGGTAAATCCTCCTCCTGCATGGTGCTTATTGTGGTGCCCTTTTAAAGTCAACTGTTGCCGAAATATTTTCCCGCATCCGGAAACTCGACAAGGATAAGAGGTCCGGTCGCTGAGACTTTTATGAGTTTCGCGGTGAGCGTGTAGCGTAATCTTGGTTCTATATTCCTTCCCACACTCGTCACATTTTAGTGGTTTCTCCCTAAGGTGTACAAAGCGCAGGTGATTATTCATATTTTCTTTATTATAGAAAGTTCTCGAACACAAGGGGCACCCGAACGGTTTAAGCTTTAGGTGAACCGCTTCCTCATGAGATTTTAAATGAGCAGGTTTCGCAAACCGTCTCGGACAGGAGGGGCATTCAAATATTTTAAACTTTTCGCGGTCTTCGTGAGTTGTTTGATGCAAGCGAAGATTTCCCATTGACCGGAAAGACTTTCCACAGTGGGGGAAATCGCATTGGTATGAACGCTCTTGATCGTGGGTTTTAATGTTGGTTGCAAGAGCTGATTTGTTTTTGAAATTTTTTGGGCATTTGGTGCACGGTAAAGGGCGAAGGGAAGAGTGGGTCGTGGAATGTGGGTCCAAGTGGTCTTTTCTCATAAATGACTTCCCACAAGTGCGATATTCGCAGTGGTATGGTCTCATTTTCCAATTTGGACTTTTCACAACAAAGTATGCGCTGGAGGAAGAAATATCTGTACCTCCGGTTTCTTGACAGTTACTAGACCAATACAATTTTTTAAGAATTTATGAAATCATAATGACTTATTGGAAAATTTACGTCTCACCAGAAAACGTTGATTTGTAAGATTGAGATTGATTGAGATTGCTTATCCCAATTGGATAGATCTTTTACTGGAAGATTTTGCCCTGGAATATAGACAAATTTGCATCCATACTTTACATTTATTACTGATTGAGATTATTAAAGTGTATTGAACTTTTTTATTTTCTATTATTAATTAATTAATTAAACCAGTCAAAACATCACCTTTGCAGACGAAAAATCATTTAACACTATTGCAGTCTACTACTACTCGCCCTCCCAAGATAACTACAACTGGATAAAATACACACTATTGCACGTAAGGATGAGCTGAAACTGTTCAAGGGTTTCTCACCCTTGGTGAAAATACCCTTCTGAGAAAAACCGACTAAAGGGTCATTTCCAATTTCCATTCTCTTTTCCACCCTTCACTTCGCACAAGGCTTCACAAAAATAGCCAGATACATGTCAACGCTATTGAAAACATATAAAGGTATGTAGTTGGGCATCTATGTAAAAAGAAAACTCTGTCAATTTAGGATGGGACTTATATACATCACTTAACCATTTGTTACCAGCACCGTTCGACACGGCATGGTAAATACAAAGCATTTGGTTCTAACTTCTTAAAATTTATATTTCATCGGATATAATGCCCGAAAGGTTCGCATTTTCCATACTACAAAATAGGTTCCTTTTTCAGGACCACTATATAATCTTATTACCAACAACAAGTTGTCGGCAACGAAATATTGCAATCTATCCAAATTAGCCTCTGCTAAAAATAGAAAGGTTAACTACTACCATACTTAACAAAGTTGCAGACTAGGCTTTTTTCGACCCTTATGAATCCACGGAATGTCTTGTTTGCTCGGCCTTCTCTGTAACTCTTATATCCTATAGTTGTGGTACCAACCACAAGTGGTACCACAAGTTGTGGTACCAACAGTGCGATATATACCCACATTGGGTATATATTGTTCCAATTTTGTATCTGACCATGCCATAAAAATTTATTTCCCAGAATGCTGATTGCCCTTCAGTCTGTCCTCAATTCTTACTCCACACAGGTATAAAGTAATAACTTCCCCTTCAGTCCAGTTTCGTTCACATTTATGACACAATTCACCACATAATAATTCGTTTCTCTCAAAGTATCAAAATGTCTCACATATGCCCCCACTGCGACAAGTGCTTCACGACATCGAGTGCCCGACGCCAGCACATCCGTAGAATACACATGGCTGTGAAAACCTGTTCGTGCAAAGTGTGTCACAAAAAATTTTACAGTGCGAAAAATTGTGCCACGCATGAGGAAATACATCTAGACGATTCCCAAAGAGAGCGACCCTTTCGCTGCGACAATTGTCAAAATTCGTTCCACCAAAAACACACTTTAAAAAATCACATCAGAAATGTTCACACGACTATGAAACCGTTCATCTGTGAATTTTGTGGAAAAGCGTTTAAGGTCGACTATTATCGTGCTGCGCATCTTCAACGAGTTCATCTGAAGGAGAAACAATACCGCTGCCGGGAGTGTGGAAAAGGTATAAATATTACCTGAGAAATCTGAAATTATTTATTTTCTCCACAATTTCATGAATTTACTTCTTTGTATCTACCAACCAACTGCACGTCCTCTAAACGTAAAAATTATAATACATATTCCACAGACTTTGCGAAGAGGATCGACCTGACGAACCATTTCAAGGTCCACCAAGCTAACCGGGATCGTCTCCCCTGCCCCCACTGTCACCGAATATTCATTGGCGACAAACGCCTCTCATCTCACATTGAACTAACCCATCAACAGAAAGGATTTCCCTGTGTGTTTCCAGGATGCGGAAAAAAATTTTCCACCGACCAGGTCGCCTCCTTCCATTACAAAACGATCCACGGTACCGTACGTCCCTTTCCTTGTGCCCATTGCGACACCACCTTCAAAAGAAAAGACACCTTGGCGAAACATGTCGCACGGAAGCATTCAAATAAATTTCTCTTCAAATGCTCCACCTGCGGGAAATCGTTTAATCAAAAGGCAAACCTTGCCCAACACGAGAGGTCGCATTCCACCCGGAAAGAATTCAAATGTCCCCAATGCCCCGCGCAATACCGTTGGAGGGCCAGCTTAATCCAACACATTGCCGAGAAGCACAACAATCAGAACAATCCGCGTCTCCCTTGTCCAATTTCGGGGTGTGGTGCGACTTCTAAGAATAAAATACTGTTGAAAGTTCACCTGAAATTAAGGAATAATAGTAAGAAAACGAAGCAATGTTACTTCTGCCCGTTCATGTTTCATAGAACAACGAATAGCCACTATCACGATCATGTGAGGATGCACACGACCGAGAAACCGTTCAACTGCACCAAATGCTATAGTTCGTTTAGCAATAAACAAGTTCTAAATAACCACCAGGTAATTAAAAAGTATTGCTGCTAACGCCAAGAGCGGTAATTATAATGTCCTAGTAAGTATTTTGAAATTTATTGTGCAGAAATTTCTACACCCGACGGAACCTCGGAGAACGTACAAGTGTCCAATCTGTGGCAAATCTTTCCTCTCGCAGACGTACATCAACTACCACGTGAGACAGGTGCACTTCTCGGAAAGGAATTACCATTGCACGATGTGCGGTAGGGATTTTTCGAGCGAATACGTGCTTCACTTACACATTAGGAAAATTCATACGAACGAGAAGCCTTACAAATGTCACGTAAAGCAGTGTCCATTTTCAGCTTTTACAGAACCCGCACTGAGGGATCACGTGATACATTATCATGTCGGCGGGTGTGGATTAATTTGCTACTTTTGTGGCAAACTATTTGCAGCAAAGGAAAAATTATATGAACACATCGGGACCCACACGGAAGAGACGGGGTGGAGTTAAATCTATGTGGAAAATTGGCTGCGAGAAACTTCGGATCTTTGAAGAACCACAAAACTAAACAGTGCGATCATAAATTTTGAAAACATTCTGGATATCACCTAACATGAAAGCGTATGTATAAGTGATTACGGGGTAGATTCTAACTGAGGTTGAAATAAATTGGGAATTTATTAACTGTATAGAGATTGTACAACTATTTGAAGAATTACCTTTACATAGATAGACATATATTATTTATTCTTTCAAGATCATTTGCCTATACAAGTTAATTAATAAATTATAACAATAAAATATCCCAGTAATTTCGGAAATTTAGTTTAAATAAACATCTAATCATAGTTTATATGGTACGGTTGGCTCGCTCAGTTAAGTTTGACTGCGGATGATAAGGAGAAGTGAATTTTTGAGAAATGTGCCAATTTTTGCACAGATAAGCAAGAACATTTGAGGAAAAATAGGTTGCATTGTCACTAACTATACATTTTGGCATGCCATATCGACAGAAAAGTTGTGTTTCTAAAATTTTGCCTATTACTGGAGCTGAGGAAGTTCTTATAGGAAAAATCTCAGTCCACTTACTGTACCCATCAATGACTACCAAGATGTAGGAATATCCGCCGGGCGAGGATTTTGTGTAGGGGCCCATTAAGTCCATATAAATGGTTGTCCACGGCGCTTCGACGGGAGATGAGACCATGAGACCAGCCGGTTTCCTGTTATCGTATTTATTTCGCTGACACATGTCGCAAGTCTTGATATAGTCCACAATGGCGGATTGCATGTCACGAAAATATGCACGGGAGGCGACTCGTGCTTTCGTCTTGTCCACGCCAAGATGACCAGAATGAGGCGTGTCATGGAGTTGATGGAGGACGTCGGAGATGAGAGATTTTGGGATGACTGGGAGGACTTTGCCGGCAACGGATTTGTAGACAATGTGATTTATGGTGACAAAGTCTGGTCCTGCGTATTCTCTCATCTCCTCCTTGGATTGCTTCTGGTGACGTCTAATCTTGTTCCTGTCCAAATTGCATGTCAGGACAAGATTGCATCGGTGGTAAGGAGGAAACATATAGTCCTCATCCTTGTCTATCACGGTGGTATCTGCTGTGGGATTTCTAGACAAAAAATCTGCAACAACATTATCTTTACCTTTTATATACTGTATGTATGGGGACCATTCTTGCAACTTCCAAGACCATCGCATAAGGCGTTTATTGGAATTTTTCATGGTTTCTAAGTATATAAGAGCTTGGTTATCCGTCTGAAGGATAAACTCATGCCCATCTAAGTATTCTTTAAACTTTTCTAATGCAAAAATTATACCATAACACTCCTGATCGGGCGTGCTATAGTTAAGTTGTGCACCAGTAAATGCATGGCTAGCAAAAGTTATTACTCTTTCATCACCAGCGTCGTCAAGTTGTGAAAGTGATGCTCCACATCCGACAATGCTGGCGTCAGTTCTTACTATAAATGGCTTATCATGCATTGGATGAGCTAAAACTACATTTTCAAGGAAAGCTTGTTTTATTTCCTGAAATGCAGTCCTGGCAGCTGGCGTAAATATATATTTTCTTTTGGCAGAGGTTAGTGCAAATAATGGCGCTGCAATGTGTGCAAAGCGCTGAATAAAATTACGATACCAACCAATCATGCCAAGAAATTCTCTGAGCTTTTTGCGGGTGGGTGGTTCTGCAAATTGCTGGATAAACGCGTTCTTATCCGGGTCCATCCCTATCCCTGCGCTGGAAACTCTATGGCCTAAAAATTTGACCTCAGTTTTACCAAAGTGACATTTGGTACTCTTTAAAGTGAGACCCGCTTTACGGAAGCGTTCAAGAATTATTGACAAATGTCTAAGATGCTCTTCAAAAGAATTACTAAAGACTAAGATATCATCCTGGTAACTAGCGCAGAAATCTTCTAAGCCTTCTAACAGTTCATTAATCATTCTTTGATAAGTAGCAGCTGCATTTTTTAACCCAAACGCCATGCAATTATATTCATATAAGCCTCGGTGAGTGGCGAATGCAGTGTACTTTTTGCTATTGGCTTCCATTGGAATTTGCCAGTAGCCTTTCTCCGCATCCATCGTGCTAATTAATTTGCAATTTGCAAATTTTCGCAATAAATCTTGCACACGTGGAATTGGGAAACTGTCGTTAGGATGTAGGCGGTTTATGTGGCGATAATCTACACAAAAACGCCATGACCCATCACTTTTCTCTTTTAATAATACGGGGGAAGCATAAGGAGAATTAGACTTACGGATGATGTCATGTTTTAGCATGTAATCAACCTGCTTACTTATTTCCTCCATCTTGGATTGGGAAGTAGGATATGGGCGTTGCCTTTTCGGCTGCTCCTAATCACATTTATTACTATTATTTATTATTATGTTCCACTCCCTTGATTCTTCCAATACGAGGGGCGTCGATGACATCCGGGAACTTAGAGAGCAGGTCCTTGATGTCATCGCGCTGTGAATCTTCAAGAAGAGTCAAGGTGTGGGTGACGGTGTTATTTGACATGACAACTTTGAGGGGATGAGACTCAACTGGCCAAGTATCTGAAAAACCCCATAGTAAATCTTTCATGTCAAATAATAAACCACATTTATGTAGAAAATCCATCCCCAGGAGGAGAGGATGTGAGCAAGGCATGACAGCAAATTCATGCTTGAAACTACGATTAGAAATTTTTAAATTTAAATTTATAACACCTGATGGTATTACTTCTGTACCATCAAGAGTGAGGATTGGGCCATGTACCCATTTACCAAGTTTCACATTAGGTAGAATTAATGAATCAGAACAAATTGAAATTGTACTACCTGTATCGTTTAGACAATCGTATGTACCAGTGGAAAGTTTAATTGGAATTTGTGGAATTAGACGGTGAGGATTCGGTTTGGAGGAGGTAGCGACGAACCCTCGAGCGGCTACTCTATTGTCCCGTTTCCCGACCCTTGACCATCATGTTGTGCAACATTGACTTGAGCTGCTTCTCTATGCACATTTCTGAAACAATTCTGGATATTGTGATTGTTGAGATGTGGACAATTTGCACACCTCGGCCTGTTGTTGTTGTTTTGTCTTGGAGGAGGACGAGGGGGCGTATTATTATTATTTTGTCGTTGTGGTGGGCGAGGAGCAGGATTATTATTATTATTATAATTCTGCCTTGGTGGTGGTGGAGGAGGAGGATTCCTATTTCCATCACGCACAGTAGCTTGATTTGTGTGGGAGGAGGCTAGCTTGGTGGTCTGTTCTGGAGGTGTGGACTTTTCAAAAATCTTACCAAAGTTAATAAGTTCCACCAGATTCTTTGCACGGCAGGAGAGAAGAGCAGTTTGAATGTGCGGAAGAGCTCGCTCCGCGACGAACTGAATGATTTGGGTATCATGAGACGATTGGTCAATCTTGAAAATTTTTCTATAAATCATGTTCATTTCTAATGCAAACTTGTTAAATGGCTCATTTTTCTTCTGGCGTCGGTTGAGAAGTCGTTCGACGGACTGGTGTTTATCCATCTCAGATCCGTACATTTGCAAGAATTCTGATTTGAAGTCGTCCCAGGAATTGACAACGAGTTTGGTGCTCTGCCACCATAAACTCTGATGTTTATCTTGTTTGAAGACTGATGGTAACATCAAAATCCAATCCTCTGGCATGACACGCTTTCTCTTCATGTAGAGTTCAACTTCTTTTAGAAAGTTTTCTGGTGTCTCCAAATATGGGCGGAATTTTGGGATAGGAATGTTTCCCACTGATTGGTAAATTACGGTGTTTGGAGCAGTGGCAGGCAATGTGGAGTTGAATTGTGGTGGAATCGTGATTATTGGTTGATAAGCAGGATTGTCTGCAGGAGCCGTGAGTAGGAGGATAACATCCGATGTCATGAATGGATTAGTTTCATTTTTATGGGGCGTTATCGGTGAAATTGTAGAAACATCATGAAATGGATTTGGATCGTCGGGAAGGTGTGGTTCTCTCATAACAGAATTATGGAGAGTGGGAGGAATACGCATGTGTGGCGAGTTTTGCTGCTTAGTTTCTTTATAAATTTGTGCAAAGGTTTTGGTGTACTCACTTGATACGTAATTCATAAATTCCGACATCTCTTTGCGTAACGCGTCGACATCTTGCTGTTTGGCGAGATTCTTCTGATGATGGAATAACGTTGTCTTCATTTTTCCAATGTGAGTGTCAACGTAGTCCTTCACCGAATGTGCTGCTGGTCGATTAATAGGGAATTGGGGACCGAGGATAGATTCCAGGACAGGGTCGGTGTCAGGGTTCACTTTGTCGTCTAACTCATCCAACCGAATCCTCATCTCGTCCAATTCCTGTGAAAAATTGACGTGGTCATTAGTTCGTTCCGAATTAATACGAGCTACATTTTCTTCCATTTTAATAAGCTTTTCATTAACTGAATCGTAATAAGAAACTTTGAACAATTTTAATTTACGAGAGAAATCAGTTGCAACTTCATTAATAAGTTGAACAGTTTCGTCGACAATGCTTTCGATATCCGTTCGTACCGTTACAATTGAATTGTGAAGAGTGTGATTCATTCGAAAAAGTTTTGTCAAATCCGTACGAATTTTAGTTACGGTTTTCTCAAAAAAATCAATTTTCTTACCCAGTTCTTTAGGAATCTTTATTACCTTTATTATTATTATTATCTTTAATTCTTTATCTTTATTTCTTTAGGAGTTTTATTACTTACACGACTGGTGATTAAATGGAAAATACGAAAAACCTCATATCCAACAAAGAAGATAAGAGAGCGATGGCGATAGTTTCCCAGGTCCAATAAATTCCAAAAGAGAAAGGTTTGGGGGGCGTTTTTCCACTTTCCGAGGTGAAATTTCCCTTGGGGTTACCAATTGTGGTTGAATCGGTCGGCGGCTTGAAGAAGACGGCGATCAATTCGTGGAAGACGTGGGCGTAATCCATGCTGAGGAGGATGAACGACAAAGGGGGCGTTTTTCACTCCCTCTAGTTCTTTTTTTCACTTCAAAGTTTATATTTTAATTATTAGAAAACTGGGTTTCGGTATCCATTTTGTAACACTCTGCTCACTAATATGAGAGGGTGTGCCCTAATCCTTCGAAATATCTATTAATATTTCGTCCTTTTTATGCTTTCGAATAGAATAAATCATGAAAAACTAGACTTTTGGCGATTTGATACTTGAATATATTCTCATTTATAGAGACAATTATATATGATATAGAAATAGCTTTGTGGGAGAGACTTAATATAGACTGAAAAATGGAAACTTTAGGAAATTTATTTCCTAAGGAGAGAAGAGAATTTAATTCCGATCGGGAAGAGAGCTAAAGCTAAACTTAACTTATGGAGGAATGAGACGTGGCGTGGAAGACTTTGATTCTCGTGGAATTGTGGGCGTTACAATGCCCCGTCTCATCCTTAATTAATTTTATTATCTATGCTAAATAAAATTAATACTTATCTATAGCAAGGTGAGGGTCAAATCATGCCATGAGCATTTGTGATGCGCTGTCACAAATGCTTATGGTTGCATGTTTCAGGTTATAGGAAAAATTAGGACGAAAATTTTTATTTAGTAAGTAACAATACGAAAAATAATAATAAGGAATTTTAAGAGCATATTTACGTGGTACCATATAGAATTTGATAAAACAAACGAACAAGAAAACAAAATTAAATCTAATTTATTATTCTAAGAAACAAAAACAATTAGCACTTTGGAGTTATAAATAAATATATTTCAAAATAATTGAATTAGAAGTATATATTACAAATAAACGTACAATAAATTACAGCTAAACCAGTTGACCCTGAGGCAAACTTCTCAAAATCGACAATCTATTTAATCTCACTTAAACGTAAATACGCTCAAGAAGAAACTCCCTGAAATCTTGGCCACAACCAAAATTAATTTAGTAAATCGAGACACTGCTCGCCTGGTAATTTCGACCTGGACTCCAAGCTATGCAAAAATTAAGACCCACATCACCACCGAGGACTACCTCCAAATAAACCTTCCCCTCCCAACAGTACAAACAACCTCCCAGTTGAGAGTGAACCTGTTCTCCCTTAAAATCAAAGATAAGGTCATCCCCCTACAAAACAAACTTAATTGTCCATGGTGCACGCGAGGAGACGGAAGTTCGAATCACTACATATTTGAATGTGACCAAATACACCTGCCACGTGTGAAATATCTAAATGCTTTCATAAATGATAACTCACTATGTAATATTTCAACCTATGTAGAATTGTATAACTCTAATAAGCAATGTCCTCTTTTCTTTAAGAATATTTTCTACTTCTTCCTAGAATGCTCTTTATTTAACGAGTATTTAACGAAATAAGAAGAATGAAATAAGAAGAACGAAATCAGAAGATTGAAATCAGAAGATTGAAATAAGAAGATTGAAATAAGAAGAACGAAATCAGAAGATTGAAATCAGAAGATTGAAATAAGAAGATTGAAATAAGAAGAACGAAATCAGAAGATTGAAATCAGAAGATTGAAATAAGAAGATTGAAATAAGAAGAATGAAATCGGAAGCACCATACTCCGTACCTAATACAACAACACTAATGAATACAATAATTCTTTTGCTATGTACTATGACTTTACTATATTTTATGACTTGACTATATATGTATGTATACTTTACGATGTTCCGTATTAATCTGTCCAGTATGTAAACATGTAACGATGAGGGCCGCGGCCATTTCGTAAATAAAACCATTGATTGATTGATTGATAAACGTAAATACGGTTTTAAACAATAATAAACCGTAGCATGCGTTAGAAATAGCTCGCCCTATAGTCGCTTATAACAAAATTCAATTTTTGTGCACTATAGGTGCAAGAAGGTCAATATTGTTTAGCTATAGTGTTATGGTGCTAGTATGCTGCACCGTTGGTGCAAATGAATTACAATTATGTAAATCGCTGGTCCAGTCCAGTTATGCACATTGGCGCAAAATTGTGTACCGAGTCAAAATTATGTATATATTTTTTGTGGTTCTTCAGCACTGTCGGTGTAAAACGATCAAAATTGCTGTTTAAATGGTTAAAATCTGAAATTATGTCAAAATTTAATGTCTACTTTTTTCAATTATTTTGCACTATTGATGATTTGTCCATTGATTTTCTCAATTATTTTACATCAATTTTAAATTACTTTGTATTATAGTTTGGACTCTTTCGCACCAACAGTGCAGAAGAACCATACAAAATAGATACATAATTTTACAATTTTGTATTATGTTTGTTGATTTAGCTTATAAAATTATGTCAGAATTTTATGTCTAGTTTTTCCACTTATTCTGCACTATTGATGATTTGTGCATTGATGTTCTCAATTATTTTACATCAATTTCTTTCCAATTTTTTTAAATCATTTAGGCTAAATAGTTGTTGAAAATCAAAACGGGGGAGATTTTAAAGCGCCAATTAGCGGAGAAAACATAGGAACAGACGGACGGACACGACAAGTTCAATAGCTACCATGCTTCGCGGGGCGAGCTAATAATTATTTAATGTATTTCCACATTAATTTTTTTTACCCTGGAACCTCCACCCCGTTAAAAAAGTTCTTCAGCAGACTTTTTTTTAAAGGAGACACTTTGTTGCCTGCCAAACACGTTGTCTCACCCACATGCACGTGCACTTACTAAACTTGTTCAGCTAACAAAGCTACACTCGTTCCAAGCACTACGAACACGAAATAACTCTCCCATCATGCGTTTCTTCATGTCGTTTTAATTGTTTCAAAGTCTTCGCCACCTTATCGCACCCAGCAAACCCACATTTGAACCCATCCCCACCACCGTGCTTCTTTGTGCTCTTTTAGTGAGATCCTTGTCAAATACGTCTTTTCGCATGAAACGCACTCATACACATTACGATTGACGGCATGTGGGGAATCCAAATGGCTGTCCAGATTGCACTTCTTTGTGAATTCCGCCCCACAAACGCCACATTTGTGAGGTCTCTCCCGTAGGTGGAAGCCAGAAATGTGAACCTCCAACACTTTCCGGTTGGAAAATTCTTTACTGCAGAAAGTGCAACGAAACGGTTTTAACTTAAGGTGTACCCTGTTGTTATGTCGGGTTAAGGATCCCATCGCCGTAAATTCATTTGGGCACGAGTCACATCGGAATTTAGCTCGGGTCCTGTCATGAGTAATTTCGTGATTTTGCAAGGTTCCGCTTTGATTGCTGGTATACCCGCAGTTTGCTGTCTGGCAGCAGAAAGGCCGCTCTAAAGTGTGAATTCGGAGATGCATATCCCTAGTCTGATTGGTCTTGAAGAGTTTAGCGCAAAAATAGCACTCAAATCGGGCCACGTGAGTCTTCTGATGTCTTAGGAGGCCAGGCAGATTATAAAAATCCATGCTGCACTTATCATATTCGCACTTGTGCCGCGTTCCATGCTTAATTATCCCATGTCTTTGCAACGTCTTCAAGGTGGGGAAGATTTTCACGCATTTTACGCAAATCAAATCTTTTTGGGGGTCGTGACGTTTCATTTTACACTCCGAAGTAAACTATTTCTGGCAATTTTCGTCTCATCAGAAAACGTTGATTTGTAAGATTGAGATTATCCCAATGGGATAATAAGGATAGAACTTTTCCTGGAATACAACCAAATATTACAAAAAATGTGCGTACTTTACATTTATTATTGATTGAGATTACGAAAGTGTATCGAACTTATTTATTTACTATTATTAATTAATTAAATAAACCTGTCAAAACGTCACCTATGCAGATGAAGAATCGTTGAGCATTATTGCAATCTACTACTACTCGCCCTCCCAAGATAACAACAACTGGATAGAATACACACAATTGTACGTAAAGATAAACTGATACCAAGGGTTACTCACCCTTGATGAAATTACTCTTCTCAGAAAAGCCGACATGCGGGTCATATACAATGTCGATTCTCTCTTCCTCCCTTTGCTTTGCACTAGGCTTCACAAAAATACATATCAACGCTATTTAAAACATACAAAGGCAGGCATTTGGGCATCTAAAAAGAAAACTCTGTCAATTTAGGATGGTACCTCCATCACTAAAACCATTTCTGTTACCAGCACCGCTCCACACGGCATGAGTTATAATCACTTAACAGCACTTGAAGGTTGAAACACACAATGGTCTCTCAAAACGCTGAAAGGTTGGGTTAGGTCTATTTCCGTATTTCTTCACGAGGAGGCTTACAATGCAAAAGATCTCTAAAATCGATAGTTGTACGAAAATGGAGTAAAGTCTGAAACTGTAGATGTCAGGTAGACAGTATCCCTCTGATACATGCATACGTACATACAAAAATTCCTGTTGTGTTCTAAAAATCAATATTAATCCACTATTGTATGTATGTGTGAAGGTATTAATAAATTGCGTAATATACATGTCTTGACTTCAGGATATCTTTATTACTTTATTATTATTGCACCGTTTAGTTCACATTTAATAATTTACGACAGACGTAAACAAAACCTGGAAACCGATACATAAATTACTTTACATTACCCTGTGCTGCACATAGGTGGCAGATTAGCAAAGAAAGAGCCAGTGCCCCAATCCTCCCCTGGTTCGACCCACCATAGGATTTCGTTGCTGCCTTCGTCACACGGCCGATGCACGATCTGGCTGCCAATTTCATTTGAAATAGGTGCCAGGCACAACCCCGTAGCTTTATTTACTATTAAGTCGAAAACTTTACATGGTGGGCTGGATTTCCGTATTTCCCATAACTGACTTGTACTCGACAATTCACATCTAGCCGTTTCCAGTATCGACCCTTGTGGCCCAGATTGCAAACATTTCTCACTGTTTTCATTAAAATTGTCGTATGTGTACGGGCTCGAGAAAATAATTCCATCCGAGGTGGTCGTTAGAAGGTATCCATCCAAAGGGGTCTTAACCATGATTGATCTAGGGTAACAAATTTTGGCAGATATAAATTTACTGGCGGAATATTTAGGTAAATTTACCTTGGACATGGCATTAGAACTGGGTTATCTTGAAACGTAAATCGGTTTGATCTAGTCATACAAAGATTTGAAGCCTTGTGATGAATAGTCGACGTTGGGTTTCTGCAGCGGCCGCGGAAGCATCTCTAAAACGTTAATAATAAAATCACCTTGACAGTAATATTTAAATAAGAATATTCTGCTTATATCGGTACAATTCGTACATTAAAAATAAATAAAAATCAAATACAATGAAAATTATTTAAACAAAATTTCTGAAGTATGTAGAACTTTTCATCATCGCGAGGATATATTTGTATTATTTTTTAGGAGATATCTACAATGATCACTTCTACATAAGCTATCCGAATTTGTAAAGGTATTTATTAATTTAAATTGAGCATTTAGAAGTGAACTTGGTTCTCTAGGCATCGGGTGCTGTACATAATTACATTCATAGATCCACCTTCTTATGCTAATGGTGCATGACCTATTTACTAAAAAAATTATGACTTCAAGTGAACTTATTTAAAATAACTCACCCCTTCGCCATTACCGCATGGTCCATTTTCAATCCCAGGAATGTAGGTGAAACGGGTTCCTCCTGGGATAGGCACTTTGCATTGTGTAGTGCAACTTGAAAGTACTTCCTATTTTATAACAAACCTCAGGCATATTTTAGAATTAAATAGTTATTAAACAGTAGCAATTAGTACCTCTCCTAAATAAGCTTCATTACTATTAAAAATCGCTTTGCATTCTGGCAATACGTCAATTGGTTCCATTCCTGACCAACCCGAACCAGGTATGGCAGGCCCAAATGGCCATGTCAAGTTCCCTTCTAATGTACGTAGACAATTTGATCCATCCAATCTGAATTTGATTTCAAGAATGAGAAAATTACAATTGTTCACACATTCCTTATATCTCAAAACAGTTAATTAGCAGCTGACAATCCTTTAATTACCTAAGGAAATCTCTGATGGCAGAATCTGTACAATCTGAAAAGAAATGTTGCTTCTCATTATTTCCGCCACTTGGACCCATAATGAATCCCGAACACCAATCCGTTTCATCATGAGATGCACCCAATCTGTAATTACGTATGATAAATAATTTACTATATTAAATAGTTATTCCAATATTTGAAATTTGGAAAGGATTATTGTATGGGAATTAAAATTATAGACAATTTTTAGGCCCCTGCGCTAGTATTCTTAGGGACAGGGGCGTAAAAATTGTCTATAATCTTAATTCCCATAAATGTTTATAAACTGTGTATAAGTTTACGTGTGAGCAATTTCATGCGCCGCAACTTCAGCTGTTTTATAACGTCCATCATCAATCCAGATGGCAGGACCAACTCCGCATGCTGACTGACGGTATGCCACACCACAGCAGACTTCTTGTTTAGCGTTTGTCATTAGTGTTCCGATGTCAAAGGGTGGGAGATTATCCCGATTTTTGTGCAACCACGGAGTAAATAAATTTAAGATTCGGCTCAGATGTACTCTTCCATCTTCCGCCCTGGCTTGCTCGATGAATGGTTGTGAATCGTAATCCTTATAGGTAAATTGAGAAAAACATGCATCAGCTTTTGATTACTTTTGATTACTTTTTAATTATATCGGTACAATACCTTCATTATCAATACCGAACTGATTTTAACCGATACGGTTGAAAGTTTTAGAGACATATAGCGCATATTTATATCCCGCAAGTAGCCGTCCAAATACTCGTAAATCTTTTTTTCGTCTTGATTAAATACGTCAGCTAATTCTTTGTCTACTACGACAAGAATTTCCACAATTACGGGGACACCGTCGTTTGTAGCTGAGCTTATTTTGTTCCTACTCTCAAACTCTATGTTGTCATGGTCTCCTGTGTAAAGAAAGTGAAATTACATTAGCATAAGCACGACTGACGTATTTAGCGGATTTCTTACGTAGACCGTCATTCACAAGGATGGGGAGATGATTAGGATTATAGTGCCCATCTTGTCCCAAATCTAGACAAATGAAGCACAACTTCAAATTACTAATAAGGTCTTACTTAAAATTTCGATATTTAAAAAAAATACCATATGGAGAAGAATCCACTAGGGCTACAAAACACACGAAGACCACGGCAACTACCTTGGGGTGCATTATTTTCTGGTGATTTACAACTTGTCGACTGATAATCATTGCTACGGAACTTTTTTATTTATACGGTTAGACCTCGCCACAAAACAATTAACTTACAACAAAGCTATGCAGAATTTGCCGATAAAGTAATTAATTACGAAATCTCTATCCGATTATTTCCAATTCTTGGAAAATGGATTAGTTCTTCTCTAAGAACTCAATTTGCCGACGATTAACCATGGCTTATTGAAGGTGGTTGTAAATTCTAATAAATCTTTCGGTATGCACAAAGGCGTTCCAATTAAGGAAATTATTGCGAATTGTACCAACTTATTTGGGACGTCATCATCTAAGTATGCACGCAAGCCCCTTGTTAAAAAATTACATTATTGTATCACAAGGATTGTATTCTACGTATACAATTAAGGTTGTAAAATCATCAAATATGGATATATGGGAGTAATCCCTCATGATTAAATTGAAGGACTTTTCTTTATATGGTATCTACATGCAAGCGTGTAGTGTGGAATTCAGTCTAAATTTGCTTGTACTTATTATACAATAATCCACTGGCAATAACCAGGCAATATTTTAATACTAAATTATCCATGACAGGATTTCGGTCAGGTTTACGTGAATTTTTTTACATAAGGGTCCTGCATTTCGCTCCTAGTGCGGATGCGGGAGCGTATGATGACCGTAAAGAGGATACAAACACAGTACCTCGATGATATTTAAATTATCAATTTAGATTTTTGCCGCCGCCTTTTACCGTGGAGGGTCGACCTAATGTATCACTGATAGGCAATCAGCATGATTATGTAATTAAGAGCTTCCCATACCAATTTTAAACATTTGGGTTCAAGCAGACAACGGATCATAAATTCAACAAATCGTGGAATGGTTTTACGAATTACTGGTCGGTATTAAATTATTTTTCTTACGGTAGATAGCCCCGGGTAGATTAAAAAGTGTTTTGGACGGGAAATACTGGCTGGAAGCATTCATAGATAAGTTTCATAAAAACGGTAAAATTTTGTTTTAGTTGAATCTTCTCATTATTCAAGAAAGTGGCCGATTAACTCAAAATCAAAAATTCAATTACTTACATAAAAATGAAATATCTATCCTGTGTCTCATAATGATTTCATAACTTCGATGGATAAAAAAATTGGACATTATCGAAATAATTTTTTCCAGGCTACCAGAAAGCCAGATTGTTATCGAAAATTGGATAAATAAAATCAACCAGGAAGAAGGGAAACAAATAAAAAAAATTGGCAAGAAATTTCCAAAAAATTGCACAGGTCGCTAATAGAGACATAGATTCTTTATCTGTTAATTAAAGTAAAAAGGTACCTGTTTCATAATATTTATGCAATATGCAATGTGTTTCAAATATCGTAAAGTTTTTACAGGCATTTCTATCAACTTGTTAAATACATTCCAAATAATTATTTAAGTACACCTTTATTAGTTCATCCTAAATAACTTTTTTTAGTTGTTCATACATAATCATAATTGAGATAGTTATCAGTAAGTAAATAATTTACATAGATAAGTAGATTAGTCCTTAGATTTAAGCAGACTTGTCTCAAAGTAATAAATGCACAATATAACTTTATCCAATATTTTTATTTTGTCTACTACCGAATACAGCATTAAGTATAGCCTGCAAAGGCGAGTCATCAGTAAATAACCCTTGTTGAGTTTCTGCCATGTTAACTCCAGGTAGACTAGCTACTGTTTGACCTGCAAGGCCACCGTTGTAATTAATCTGTCCAGGCATTGCAATCTGATCTTGAAGTACAGGTCCTGATGGTTCCTCAAAAGACCTTAACAAATATTCTCGATTGGTAAAAGACCACCAAGCCTGTGTGTTGTACCAGCCATTCACTGACCCCTAACCACCTGAGAACCATGCAGGGCGACTTGATCCCCAGCCGCCACCTTGTTGTTGGCTAAAAAAATTATAAATTAAAAAAAGTTTTTATCTCAAGTGTTCTAATTGTTCTATTTACTTACCATCCACCATAAATCACAAAAGGAGAGGCTTGACGCGATTTTCGTTTCTTTTTCAGACTAAATATGACCTTCTGTGTATTCTCCGGAGGGATAATTTCCTCCAGTGTAACTTTAGTGGGGTTGATTGGAAATTTTTCGGAAGTGACTTTAGCTAAAGTTCCAACATCGACTTTTCTCAAAGATGCAGGATTGGTTAAATGAATTATTGAAACCAGGCACTGTGAGGATATAAGAAAATGAAACATTCTATAATATTCGAGTAAATGTGATTAATGAACGTGTGTTAAGTTAATTTAATTAATTAGTATTCTATTAAATAAAAATATTTTATATTGAATACAAACCTCTTTCATTTATAACAATCATCATAAATTACTAAGCTTACTTACCGTAAACAATTTCCAATGTCGCATATTTAATGTTGAATTTGATAAGAAAGTTTAGCAGGTTTCGTTGAAGTTCACGACGAAGTGAACCTCTGCGCAAAAAAAAATTAGAAGAGATTTATTTTATTCTTTTTCTTTCGTAATAAACATTGTCTGCTAGACCCCTGTCGGCGAAAGAAGTTATCGCATAAACATTGACGAACTTTAGAAGAAAAAAGTTGTCCATATTGATATTACAGTAGATTTAAAATTTTTAAGGTGGTACTGTCCTCTATATTCTATGGCTATTATGTCAATAGAGTGATAATAACTTACTGTTGAATTATCTGTTAAGGTTATCAAACAAAACTTGATTTTTTACGGGTCAAAGTCAATACATTTACAAGTTTGTAAATCTTCCTTGACTTGTTTATGCAACACAGCCTCTTGAGTACCACAACACCTAAAGATTTACATCACTGCACTAACATTGTAAGTGTCTAAGTTAAATACCTGTTATTTGGTATTTGGATTACGATATTTTAATGCTAATTTACTACAAAGTTTAATTCCTAAGTTGTCAGACGGTTCGGGTACATCGTCAAACAGGTTTTTTTACGCTTAACTTACTTGAAACTCTGATGGAAATTCCAGATTATGCCATTAATACACATGCAAGAAACTACTTAGCAGTCCCGTAGCTACGCTGACCCAGCGACTATCTGATATAGTCCAGAAAAATATTACAAAGTTCAACTGTGATTCTTAGAAGGTGTAATACAGTTTCCAACTAGAGGGGAAGAGATAACGTTTGCTCCGAATTATCTCGTGACTAGATGAGATGAGTTGGAATTCAAATGAAATCATCGAAGCTTGTCCTGTTTTGTTTAATTTCAAAGTTATTGAGACCAGTGGATTTGGCATACATTACATAGTTCGTCCCTAGCAACATGCAAAACTTAGCCTTCTCCAAACTGGTGTCACACTGGGTTACACAGTAAACAACAGGGATTGATTTTGTTTTTGACATTACCCTATTTATCTGCAGTCATTAGCAATCTCCAAACCAAATTTCAGCTCAATTGGAGGATACTGAAAAATCAGTATGGATGACCCCATAGGGTACCTCCGGATGAAATTTTTTTCAATGTCACTCTATATTATTTCATCAGGAGCCATCAGAGACCTATGAGCCAAATTTCAATTTTCTATGACAAAATTTGAAAATCGGTGGGGGTCACCAGACGAGGTACGTTTCGATGAAAATTTTTCCAAATCCACTGCACATTATTTCATTAGAAGCCATCAGAGACCTATGTACCAAATTTAAAGCTTCTACGATCATTTTGGAAAATCGGTGGGGATCACCCTATAGGGTATCTCCGGGTTAATTTTTTTCAAATTCTACTTCATATTCTTTCATTAGTAGCCATCATGGACCAATATGCCAAATTTCAAGCGTGTAGGACAATATTTCAAAATCGGTGAGGGTCACCCCATAGGGTACCTTCGGGTGAAAATTTTCCAAATTTAACTTCACTTTCTTTCACTAGAAGCCATTTATGACCTCTGTACCAAATTTCAGCTTTCTACCACCATTTTGAAATTTCGGTGCACCATACCCCCACCACCTAATTGACCCCCACCGGTCAACCACTGGACAGATTTGGCTTATCTTCGAACTTGATTCCTAACTTTGCCCAATATACATATGCTGAAAATTTCAACCCGATCTAATAAGTTTAAAGAGAGTTATCGATATACGGACGGACGGACGGACAGACATGACGCTTACATAAGCCCTGACTCGGGCTAAAAATTATCTATGCATAGGTGAATTAATTATTTAACATGAAATACGCAGGAATGGATTGTATTTCTAGCACCATTGATCGTGTATAGTTACATAATCTTAATCTTTACTTACAGTTCATATCCTCTGACCTGGAATGAGAGCTGTGTATAATCTTCTGCACAAAACCTCGTGCCCATTATGGCTTTGCAAATTCAGCCACAAGTTGAATACATGCATCTGTTCTCCTCAGAAATGTATATTATTAGCTTTCCCTTACTTTTAACTGAGCAGCCTTACTTTTGCAGATATACATTTCTGCATTAAATGGACAAGTAAGTATCGCAAACTTCATTCATCAGCTAGCCCCCATCTCCTCCACTACAGCTGGGGGAGATTAATAAACGTATTTTGTGTTGCCAGGCAACACAACGAGAGACCATTTAAAAAGCAAATATTATCACTATCAGGTTAATATATTAATTTCTTACTCATTTAAAAGTAGAATTAAAATCTAACATTTTACTTGTTCTGATTTTCCGATGTTAGTCCAAAATATTAAGGTTCTCTTACTAATATTTTTCGGTAACCTGTACTGTTGCTGTTGTTCTAAGAGTCAGAAAAACCTCCGTCCTTTAAACAATCCCCCATAACTTTGGATCCAGAGGTCACACCCTAATGCATGAGGGCTCGTTGGAAAGCTGAGGATATTTGGGGGCCACCCCTTTGTAATTCAGTGACCTAAGCCACACCCACCCGGGACCACACCCCCTCAAATCCAAACTTTGCGCCTGTAAGCTTTATATAGTCATGTGGGGTGTCAATCGAAAGCTCCTGAGATAAGCCAACCAACCCCACAGTAATTTAACCTGATAACCACACCCACCGACAACCACACCCTCCATGTCGAAATTTTTATTTTCTTTATACCACATCGAGTGGGGTATCGTTGGAAAGGTCTGGAAAGGCCAGAATATCTCGGATGTAGGAGGTCCAGTTATATTTGTTCAGTTCTTGGCCTGGTTTTAAGTGAACGAGGAGTGCTTTCATACATTTATAAGCGATGCGTGATTCATCCATTAATTGGACTTTGATGTAGAAGTTTATCATTTGTTTGGCAATTTTAGACAGTAGTTTGGTGCAACTAGTTTCCATACGAATGGCGTAGTTGGCTACTCTGTTGTCCAAATGGAAGATTCTCTTTAAGAAGCGTGTCTGTACTTGCTCGATGATGTCTGCGTAAGGGTAACCCCATATATGGCTTGCGTAGAGCACTGTCGACATTGCAATACTTGAGAATAGTTGATAGTGGGAGTCCCAATTTTCTACTTTTCCTTTAAATAAGATGGGCCAGAGCGATCCAAGTGCACTCATTCCCTTCGTCTTGAACTTTTCTGCTGCTTTCCGAAAAAGACAGGAAGATGAAAATGTGACTCCAAGGTATGTATATTCATTCACGATTTTGATTGGTAATCCTTTATATGTAAAGATTATATCTTTTGGCAATCTTCCCCCCCTTCGAAATACCACGACTTGAGTCTTGGTCAGATTCACGATGAGGCAATTTTCTCGACAAAACTTCTCTAATTGGTTGATTTTTAGTTGAAGGGCTCGTTGTGATGGGGCTACGATGACCATGTCATCGGCGAATTTTAGTAGGTGCATCTCGAAGTAAAAAATTTTGGTTTTGCAGAATTGTTGAGACCAAGACCTTTCCAACGATACCCAACTCAATATATTACAATTTAGATAAAAACTTTCGACCTGGGGGTGTGGTTCAGGATGGGTGTGGTGCAGGATGGTAATTTTGTATTCGCAGAGATGCGCGATCCAGACCATTCCAACGATAGCTCACTCGATGAGTAACGACGTAAATAAAAATTTCGACATTGGGGGTGTGGTTCCCACTGGGTGTGGTTCATGATGGGTGTAGTTCAGAGAGGTGGTAATAGCATCATAGAGTTGCTGCGACAAAGGCCTTTCCAACGATACCCCACTCGATAGGTTTTGTCGAAAATAAAACTTTCGATATATGGGGGGTGTGGTTCACAGTGGGTGTGGTTCAGAGTTATACGTTCGTTATCGTTGGGTTGGTGAGACCCACGCCTTTCCAACGATACCCCATTTGATATGTTTAAATGAAAATAAAACTTTTCGACCAGGGGGTGTGGTCCAAGATGGGTGTGGCTCAGAATAGTGGTATTGGTGTCGCAGAATTGCTGCCACAACCAAGACCTTTCCAACGATACCCCACTCGATGTGGTATAAAGAAAATAAAAATTTCGACATGGAGGGTGTGGTTGTCGGTGGGTGTGGTTATCAGGTTAAATTACTGTGGGGTTGGTTGGCTTATCTCAGGAGCTTTCGATTGACACCCCACATGACTATATAAAGCTTACAGGCGCAAAGTTTGGATTTGAGGGGGTGTGGTCCCGGGTGGGTGTGGCTTAGGTCACTGAATTACAAAGGGGTGGCCCCCAAATATCCTCAGCTTTCCAACGAGCCCTCATGCATTAGGGTGTGACCTCTGGATCCAAAGTTATGGGGGATTGTTTAAAGGACGGAGGTTTTTCTGACTCTTAGAACAACAGCAACAGTAACAATGAATCTAAGGAATAAAGTTCACGTCCAAATTCGCAAAATGCTAACTGAGAAAATTATAAGGATTAAATTTCGTTAAGGTAAATGTTTGTTGAAAATATTTATAAATTAGTGTAGAAAAAGATCAAGTTTAATTTAATAGTCCGTTTTATCTGATTCTTGATTTTATTAAAAACTGAATATTCAGATCCGCAATAGATGGAATTACTTGGAAGTTTGTTGACTCAACTAGCCATAGATTCAAGAAGAGCTGTTGGAAAAATCAGATATTAAGTTCTACCTACACTGGACGACTATAACTTACCAATTCAAGTCTGGACCTAGTTGATTAAGGTATTGAGATACTTCCGGATTTAATCTTGTATGTATTGTAATTTACAAAGAATTTTCAATGACAATTTGTCCAGTTGAAAATCAAATTGTCAAAAACAACTCGTGCAAATTTAATATATTTACAATTTTTTTCAACAATACGACTTCAAACTTTTTCCTTCGGTTGGATTGACGACAAATAATTTTGTGAGGTTACGCTACCTATATTATATTCGAAGTAAATATCATATTTCAAGATTAATTTAATATATTTATACCTATACTGATTAGCGTAGAAAATGTACCGTTTTAAATTGTTTCAATATGGCTCTCTCCTTTCCTGAAATTAACGTTTAAGAGGAATTTGTTAAATGTACGGCAGCTTCATCTTTTGTTAGAACTGAATAGCCTCCTCTAGTAAAAAAATACAGCGGTGTTCAAGTATCATTGAATGGAAATAATTTTACTATGGTTGATGTTGCACTTAATAGTTGTTCAAATTTGAACCAATATTATTAATTATTAATAATTACACATCCTATTACTCCATATCAGCAAGTCATATACTTAAAAAATTGTGGCTAACAATAGTGTAGAAATAATGAAGAACATTATTCAGTGCTTAGAAAATATGTCCGTATTGGACAATATTTTTAACCAGAACAAGTCCATGCTCAAATTGCTTTCTAGGTATTTTCTTCATGATTTAAGCATTTTATCTCGATAGTGGGATGAAATTAGTGATATAGTTCATTTGATATTGTTGGTACATTTGGTTCTGCGAAATATTCTATCAATTTTCTGCAATTTAATTAACCTTTGAATTTAACTTTTAATTTTATCTTTAATTTGTTTCTCCTCTGTTTCATAAATGGCATAACTTTCTTAAAGTTTGTACACAAGTCTTGTAAATTCATGACATCGGATTAGCGGTTGCGAAGCTTTAGAATTGCCCCTAGAGGTTATTGATTTTTGTCTTACCGTACATTACCACAGCCATAAGTATGCACTCTGTGCGGTGGCCGAGCTACTCATAAATAGAGATAGCCCAACCAGCGGCGGTAGCACCTTAAAGGCTAATTGCCGAAGTAATAATTGCCGTTTGAAATTTCGTTCCGTTGTCCCGGAGGCTAGATATGTTCCCAATAATCGGAATGAGCGCTGCATCCAACATGTTTTTTACGTCACAATTAACAAGACTTTCTAAATAAAAACAAATTAGAGTGTCTTGTTCAGCGTGTCTTCATGTGAAGAACAGGTTTTATCTTCGGATCACAATTTTAATGAAAAATATAAGAATAAAATAATTGATTGTGTAGTGTCAGCTTCGCCTTGAATCTCAGTGAAGGTATTTTCTAAAGGCTTCTTCAAGACTGTATTTATTTATTAAGATTTAATTCTCGTTATAATAGCTTCATTTGATGCATGACTTGAAGGCCCTCAATTCATAATTCATACTCTGCATTTGTGTGCATTGAGTACCTTAAGAACCATTTTTAATATAACATGTACAATTTAATTTCAGAGTCAATTTTCCTAATTTATTGTGAACTTAAATTCACATTCATTAAATAGACATGTTGACCTTATGGTTCACGTATTCGTTTGCAAAGTGATCAGATCCTATACAAAAGCTAAATCTAAAGCATGACCTAATTTCTTGCACGTAATTTAGTGCGTTTGTCAAGTGCTGTCACATAATTAATTAGCATCGTCCACTAGTTGAAATATTTTCATAATCAATAACTGGGTACCCAATTCCTAATATTGGTACAATATACAATGAAATGTTATTTTCTTGTAAGCAAGTTTTTATTTATGAAATCTACAGACCTGATCTGACAAATGTTTCAATGAGTCTGCATTCAAATTTTTTAGCGTACCATATCAGTTAACTAAAATAGCTTGTTCTACGAATATTATTACGACTAATGCAGTTTAATCAATATGCTTCAAGGGAAATATATTTAAACATTATTTTTATCGTCCAACTCGCACGCCAGGACGAATGAAGGAATAAGAAGGTAGAAGGTGTCATGCTGTTTAACTATTTTGTTGAGGAATTGGTAATGTTATATTTGCATGCAAAAACGCAAAATTAATGATAAGACCATGGATGGTAACTCTTATTTGCGATTCGTAAAGAATGGTATCTTTACACATGTAATAGGACATGTGGAGAATTGTGTTCTGTAGCATTGGAATTTATGTTTTCTATCATTTACTTATTGTTCCTTTGTTTCATAAGGGGTTATCACAACTGATATAAAGAGCTGCAACCAGACTGTCTCTTTATAGTGTATAGTTCAGGTTTTCTTTTTATTTACTCATAATAACTATTTCTAGAGGCTATTGGTGGGTTGTAACCGTACCCCTGCTGATTGATCACCAGCAGTGATACGGGGCACAATAAGCCCCCCTTCAACAATAATGCACGTACGGTACAGAGTGCATCAAAATACCTTCCAAACGAATAATTTTATTAATTTTACCGAGTTATTTATTTTGTAATTCTCGAAACGAATTGGATATTTAGCTGTATTTAATATCCAATCAAAGGTCGTCCAGAAATTGATTTTCCAATATTTTCCAACTCTAGTTCAACTCAGGTTAATACTTAATATATATAATTTTTAGCTTACGGCTTCTAGTCAAAATAAGAAGATCCTCAGTTTGTGTCACAGTAGGATTCAATTTTGCACCAGCATTGAATTTTCAGTAAAGATATTGTAATGGATACTGGTATTAACAATATCGTTCTTTAATGCACTCCATCCTGTGGGATTGTTTGTAAAAGCCAAACGTAGGTGATGTAAGCCTCATTCGGCCCAATTTCCTGTATAAGTTGTAAAGCGTTGTCTAGCACACAACAGGCTGGTATGGAGACACTGTAGGCAACTAAGAAATAAAAATAAGATGATGAGTTATATATAAATATGGATACTTCATTCGATTGGTCAGTACATAAATAATTTCCTGATCGATAAGACTAATTGTAAGATTTAGATATATGTAATAGGCTGCGTATCCCAGGTTCAAGACTTGGTCCACATTTTCTGCAATGCCGAAATACCTGTTATTCCCACTTAACTAGGGTATACTAAGCAATAGAATTGAAAGACTCAAATTTAGCAAAAGCTAGGATAAAATTGTAAAATGTCCAAGGCTATGTTAACCAACAAATTCTGAAGAACTGTAACGCGAAGTTTATTTACTTAATTCTTCAAATGTTTGTATAGTATCAAGCACAATAGTGCTACATATTTCTATGAGAAATGTCCTTAGAAATTTTCCAATTTATGGAAGTAGTTAAGTTTTTGAAATGAGGACGTTGTAAATCCGAGAAATCAATGAGTTAAATATACTGCTTGTTTGCAACTACAATATCGTGCCAAACATATGTTCACATGTTTATTTGATTCGTTTGCATAAGTAAATTTCAGGCCATAATAAAGCATTAGATTCCCATACTATGAAGTAATAATTCATAGCATGGAAGTATATATTACAAGTTATGAATTTTCATAAGTTACGATAATTATGTAAACTTTATGTTTTATGTGTTATAAACTTTATGTGTTGATCATATTCAGGAAAATTATGAATGTAATTTATTCAAGGTGTCTTTTAATATGTAAATTTACTTAAAGATTAGTTTTATATTTAAAATTTCCAAGATTATAATTCCATGCATACAATAATGTATTGACGATGTTATTGAATAAATTTGTATTCAAAATAAAATATATAATGCAAATTTCTATGACAAATATCATAATTTAATATTTTATACTGTTTTGTTATGTTCAGTCCTTCACCAAAGTAATTTAAGTAGAAATTTGTGTTCCCCAATAAATTGTCCAGATGTTAATTGTACGGTTGGCATGTTTATTTCCAGATTGGAACACACATACACAAATGAAGAACATGATTCACTGAATTAACATAGCCACAAAAATAAATTGCGAGCGAGTTGCAAATTTATTTAGCTCGAACCGGCCGCATATGCTACTAATTATGCAAGTCTTTGGATCACCGCATTTGTAATTTAAACAATCAATCAGTAACTTATGCTCTAAAGATATTTGTATGGGCTGAAGCCTACAAGAATTCAAGTCGAATAAAATACATAAGTACATACAAGTGTCGATTTCCCACTTTAAACTACTAAGAATAGTAAGAAAGACATTATTTTGGAAAATGTGCATACATTCTCCATAAGATTCAGCTTAACTAAAAAATGCTTATCGTTATAGACAAATCTAAACATGGAATTAGCAGATTAAACAACATTTTTAGTTAATACACAATAAATTATGTTGCATGATTTATATACATCCATCGCTATTTACATGTATTTTATAATGATTTACAGTCAATTTTTTCTGGTAAGCACTTCCAAATTACATCCAGAAAGACCAACTCTTATACCAAAATATCAATTACAGAGTACAAAGTACTTAATTGTAGAAAGGAAAATCTATTTGTCTTTACTTTTCTCATGACACGTTTACACAATTATTATGGCTTACGTACAGCGTGCAGGTATACCTAAAATTATCTTTCCTTTCATTATCAGCACATGTATTAGTATGTATTAATATGCTATGATGAGGACCTCGGGGATATGAAAAAAATCTCTTTACTTAACATATTTACATATTATGTCGATATTTGCAACTAATGTTGAAATTACAAATATATGTAAAAATATCGAAATTTCATCTTTATCTGGACGATGAAATGCTAACTTTGCAAAACTCTCTTAACCCTTTTCCCTGCAAGTTCGTTATCAAATTACGAATCCAACCGCTAAATCTCAAACTAAATGCACCACTGCATATCTCAGCGAACAATACCGATGCACAAACAATCAATAAAATTCCACAAATATAAAACCCTGGCGTGATCTTTGAATTAAAATCTAATCGCGAAACAGCCTCTATTTTTGGATGTCTCCATTTCGCATAGTGATTCAGTAACTTTTGTGGTTTCCACAATTTATACAAAAATTCCAAATGTTTCAAAATTCCTGAAGATATCATCACTTTGAGACGTTTTTCAGCATAACTATTCCTAACCGGACGCAACTTCCAACCTCTAATTGTCGGGAAGAATGAATCACCATGTCCACTGACGTATATTTTCCTTTCTCGATTGTCATTCAGAAAACTTGTCATCTCCACGATATTCTCCTTTGTGTCCATCAACGCCACTTTTCCACAGCTCGATAAAGATTTTGCTATTCCGTAACTGTCCCTCTCATCATAATCGACAGGTTGAATCGGCAAGTCTTTCAGCACACTGTCATTGAAAGTAGCAGGATCATTAAAAACAAAGGAACCATTCCCAAGATCTGTAAAATTTTGACGCCATCCAAAATAAGGATTTATCTTGGTAAGCAAATTCAAAGCCGTATTCTTGTATTTAGCGTCTGCAACTTCTCCTACAATTTTACGACATCGCATAACAATTTGCATATAGAAAGATCCGTATCGCCAAAAGTCTGAATTCGGTAGAGAATGGGCATCTTCGACATCGAGAAGATTGAACGGCATCAGAATTCGGATACCCTCTACGTCAACAGCGGTTTTCTAAGGGGACTTGTAAATCGTGGGGACAATCATTTCCATGGTGAAGATAGTCTTGTACCAATTCGTCAAAATCGTTCCCACTAAAAGAATCCAAACTGCGACAATGGTGTAAGGTCCGATCGATAAATGTCGCTTCTCTCTAAGTCTGCTTTTATTAATTGAATTGGACGCCAGAACAGAGTTTTCTACGGTTATCCCAATTACCAGATATACGCTATCAGAAATAACTTTTTTCCACACTATTCTTAAAATTAAAACTACCATAGCAAAGCCTATTCCTAAACATGTCCAAATTGTATCGTCGAACGGGCTAGTCAACGCTGATAGCATGGCAGTCGTTGATCTTGTCTTATAACACGAAACAAAGCTAAAAATCTGCGCATCGTAAATGTAATATTGCAATCCTCTCTCATCAAGCCACCAAGTAAAGCGACGAATGCCTCTAATGAAGTGGATTGGCGTGATATTAAAAAAATTATAGGTCAATACATCTTGTAAAATCCAGTAAGCCAAGAAACCGCTAATCGTGGTAAAATTCGCTACCCGACGATACCAATAGTATGACGGATGAACACCTTCAACATTATTTTGACTTATTAGGCTGCGAATCATGGCTACGTCACTACCATGAGAATCTCCAGGTGCCCAAAAGTATTTGTTGATTTTGGATACCTTTTCTCCTAATTCAACCAAATTACTGAAACAATTCGATGGTAAACATTAAACTTCATGCCACTCTTCCAAGGATTCCGGGTCAATCGGTGGTCCCTTGGTGTAATAGATGTTATAATAAATCATCCTCAAACCTATTTCACTTTCCCCCAGTCTGGTCACATCCACTATCAAAATTTCTCTCAAACCAACATAATTGTACTGAACGTGCGAAAATCTAAAGTATTCTTGAACTTCGTGTGTTATTGTCGTGAAAAATAGGAAATACTGTGATGGATAGTTATGGTCAACGAAACCGTGGTGTTGAAGAAATTCCTTATTGTTATGACGAAATGTGCCCCATTTTTCGGGGAGGATGACAAAACTTGCCCAACAATGCCGCGCCGGATTCCTTCTTCTGTGGAGGGATATTTTATCAGAAATCAAATTCTTTGTGTGCGAACGTATATTCCTGTCGTAATCAAGAACAACAATTGGTCCGATGGCGGGGTGCTTAAGAGATCTCTAAGCGAAGGTTTTTCCGGTAAAGATCATTGTGGTACAGTTTTCAAAAGGGGAAAGGTAATCGGCAAGCCTGGAGCTAATTAAGTCTTGTGTAGGCTGGTCACTCGATATTCTTTTCTCAACGGATGCATGAAAACTAAATACGGTGCCAAAAATTTGTTGAAGAATTTGAACAAGGATTAAATGTTTTGATTCCATTCTTTGTGTTTAATATATACTAATATGCGTTTATGTCTAAATCTGTAATTCTGTAATTTTAAAATATTGTGAAGACTGTAAAGATTGTTAGCTTTAGGTTTTCATCAAACTACGGGTCTAGTAATTGTCTACACTAACTGTATCTATGAAGGCTGATAAAGTAGGTAAGAACTTCCTATACTTCAATTGAGCTCCTTAACGCAATAAAACTTCGTCTAACCGTCTTCTTAAAACTCCAGTTTTTCCTCAAGTAATTTTAAAATGAGCTGGGAAATTTAAATATCTAGTCTGAGACTCTGAGTTTATATATAATTCATGTAATAATCATTTGGCAATTATGTGATTATCATAAATACCCTTTGATAACGAAGAGTGCAGTTAACAAGTATCAGCCTTAACAGGAAGCAACATAAAGAAAGCGTGGAAAACAGCGTGGGCTAAATAATATATTTTCCTCACGAATTAAATATCTTTTCAAATATACTTTACATATCCTGATCTATTGTGATAGTTTGCTTAACATTCAACAAAATAAGGTATTTCATGAAGTATCATGTCATACATACTTGACAATTATGAAAACCTTAGAAGTAATATAAGTCCGTGATGTAAAGATCCAGAATTGTGTGGGATATCATCGTTCAATTCTACATATAATGGCAACTAAATTATTCATAGTTAATTATAGTCGCAGAAAATGTATATAAGGATATGGTACTATATAAAGACCCCGAGATTCTCAGTAATGCCAATACCAGGCGGGTAGAATTTAGACTTCAAATTTTTCGAAATTATGTAGAGAATTTAATTGGCTACCTAATTCTGAAAACCGAATTGGATTATCTCTTTTCGTTTAAAAATGAGAGCAAAAGATTCGCAGCAAGTCGCGACGCTAGTTTGCCACTCGCCCTAAAATGCGTTTTTTCGAGATCACAAAACAAATGAACAAACGCTTGACCACTTTGTTCATGGGGGGATGCTACGGAAATCAATTCATCGTATCTTGGAAAGGTATAATTTACATGAAAACATAGATTTCAAATAACCAAGTAGCCAGCCGGTTTTCGTAGGGATGAAGAAAGCGGTCAATATGGTGGAGAAAGTATTTACACACAACCCCGACATTTCGGGTAAGGCTGTCGCAACAAAATTGAAATTGAGCATATCATATGTATGTCAAATTAAAGCCAAGAAGCTGGGCTTCAAAACTTACAAAGCCAAAATTTCCCCAAAATATAATGAGGATCAGAAACGTAGAGCCAAAACCAACTGCCGGAAGATTTAAGAAAAACTTTGCAAGGAAACTTTCACCAACTTGATGGTCATGGATGACGAAACGTTCTGTATCTTGGATCCTGAAAGTGTCATTGGGGTTAAGTATTACTCATGTAGAGACAAAAAAAATATACCTGCCATATATAAATACAAAGGGAAGGAAAAATTCCCTAAGAAATACCTAATCTGGCTGGCGATCGATGAAAATGGTCATGTGTCGAAACCACTAATTATTTCGAAAAATTTGAGCTCTCAAGTTTTCCTAAAGAAGTGTATCATGAAGAGGTTGATGCCCTTTATCGAAAATAAAATGATTTTGCACTGGCCCGATATGGCAACAAGCCATTATGCGAGAATTGTGACTGACCAACTCCGAGAGAAAAAAGTGGATTTTGTCGAAAATAAAGACAACGCTACAAATGTCCCTCAAGCTCGTCCCATGAACGGTTTTGGGCATTACTCAAGAGGGAATACTCCAAAAGGACAAAACCACCCAAAGGATTGAAAAGATTTCGAATAGTCATCATGAATTTAATAAAGAAGGTAACGGAAAACAGTGGCGCGGCTCTCATGGCGAGCGTGCGGCAAAAGCTACGGTCAGGGGGTAGAGACGGAGTTTTTGGTCCCGTAATGGATTAAAATAATTAGGTAAGAGTGTGATGAACATCATATATAAAAAGAATTAAATTTAATTCGGTAATACATTTTTTACAGGCTAAAACCATGCGGGGTCTTTATATAGTACCATATCCTTATTTCCATAACAAGGCGAATTTCATATTTACTAGTGAAATGTATAAGGTATTATTTGTCATCATATTTACCCTTATCACAATGATAAACTTGTATTATAGATAACCTGTTCAATTTAAAAATGCATGCGAACTTTTCATAATTCTGCTTATTCTTTTATGCATTGTAGTTTGTGAAATAAAGAACTTTATGTATCTACAACGTTGTTTCTTATATGCAGCGTATTGTCCAAAATTTTGTGTCATTCTTCTCATCTTTTTTTCATGTTATGAATTTAATCGCATACAACTTTGCTTTCCTACATATGCTTTTTGAATTATCATAGTGTACAACTAAAATTATATGTAAAATGCAAGGTATTTCAGTTTTTGTTTTATAATGTTCTGAAAATGCTATCAACCCCATTTCGTAATGAATATTCATGGAATGCAATTACTCACAAGAAGCTTGTAAATTTGATCAGTTATTACATAATTGAGTATTGCTCGCTGCTAAACATTATTTCTGCACAAATTTGATAAAAATTTTGACTGGAATTGTAGATCGCTTCACCACTTTCCAAAACATTTAGAAATTTCTCAACTAATTGTATTACACTAGATGAGCCAGCAGCGTACTTCTCCCTAAGCGATGGCGGTGTCATTGTCGTGAAGGTGGCCAGGAAGGAGGAGTTCTCTATGGGGCAGGACGCTGTGGACGGAGGCGAGAACTATGATATCGCCAATTAATACAAAAAATTACAACTTCATGTATTTGCCTTTATTCAAAATAAACCTTCATATTATTGTTTAACAAATAAATTCAAATCATCCCATCGAATTGTCTAATCATCAAATTCCCCGGGGACAAACATGGACTGAAAATAGTTTACAGCATACGGTTGCCCAAGACCATATTTTATCGCAAATTGGCGATAATCAAAATTTCGCCTCGCCACACTCGGTCCTGCTGGTATCACGGTCTCCGTAAATGAGATATTTCCTCCCCGTGGTTGCATATACACGAGGAACACGTATCGATGGAGACCAGTTCCTGGAATTTTAATTTCATTTCATTTTTCAAATTTCCGCTCAAATATTTAAATATTATTCACCAGTCTGTGGACGCGGTCTGGAATATTCGGCCAAAACGGTTCCATTACGCCAGGAATTATCCTGCCCACCGTCAATATTTCCAACCAGCCAGTGATTCACGGGGCCGTTTACGGGATCTGTTCGCGACGGCCCATCCATGTCTATGAATTGCGTTCCTTCATTAATTATCCTTAATTGGGAGTAAATTATAAATAAATAAACACAACCTACCCAGCATCATCAACACGTATAATCGATCTGGAAAATTTTCTCTCCAACGGAAGGATGTGGGAGTGTCGTTAGCTTGAAGGGGCGTTATGAGATGTCCGAAATCTATCCGTATCCCACCCTCGTACTCACCGATTATCTTGCGTGGTGGGAGTAGGTCTAGCAAAACGGACTTTTTTTCATGCATTTCATACAAATCATTAAATTTACAATGATCCATTACAAAGCACATCAGGAACAAGACGCGATAATGGGTTTATCTTTTCCATTCTACTTGCCACTGCAAGGAGAAGAACGGATGCTAGGACCCATTGAAAGGCTCGCTTTAACAATTAGATATTTATTACTGTATTCTACATTTGGATAAATAAATGAAAAGAATTTTTTTTAACGTACTGGAAACTTGTCCATTTTTTCGAGTTTTGTTATAACGTGGGTTTAAATTTTAACAAAATTATGCGGTTAAGGTTTTGATTGGTGCGACTGAAACAGTACTGGTTCGATCTCAACTGTAAACTGAAATTAATATCCACTATTTCGAGCAATGTTTAACTTAAAATGCTGAGTGAAGAGTGATCTACTTATTAAATCGAAGGAAGCATTATTTTGCAGTTTTATATTTTTAAACTGGGATATTTCTCATTTGACTTTACGACTTTATTAAACTCTACAGTCTGCAATTTCCAGTTTGGGTAATCCGGCACGGAACTGCAGTAACTTTAATATTTATTAGACAAAAATAAAATAAAGTGGGTCAAACCATCAAACACCTCATTGAGTCAGCAAATTCGTACATACATAAATATATCTAAAATGCTCAGTACCTACGTACTACCATTCAGCTTGCTATATTTATCGACACACAAACTGCATATGTACCGTCTGCTGGGAAAATACTTTTTTACTGTTGCCAAATAAAACTATGGAATTAATGTGATATCATTATTATGAATTGAACTTATTTATTATCAGGTCATATAAATAAATCAAGATTTAGTTATTAATTTAGACTTACTAATTTGGTGACACGAATATATATAAATTTATTTCATGCAACAAGTAATTGGAAATCATCAGAATGCAAATTTAAGTAAATCATATTTAAACTGTTGAAGTCTCACTAAATCATTCATCCAAACGAGTCATCATTTGCAACAACATACCCAAATATGCGACAATACTGCCCCAATTCCTGATCTGAAACTGATGCTGTTCATTCTCAGTCTTCAATTTCTTCGCCCGTGCATACTGCTCCTTCCTAACGTTCACCACCTTGACAGCTAAATTCAGCAATTTCGCGACCGATTCCAATGACACACTTTGTCTGCCCTCATCCTTTAGGACTACGGCCTTGGTCAGCAAGCACATCGCAAATTTTGTTACCTCGGTGTAATTTCCAATCCCAGCAAAGCATTGGGACAACTCGGCGTGTGAAAATATTCTTGATTTGTTAGTTTTTGCAAAATTTCTAAATGTCCTCGAGGCCGCATCAAAAACTTCGTTGAATCTTTCAGTTCTTGACAGGCAGAGGAACCAAAATTCAAAGAATCTATACTCCGCGGTCACTTGCTCGATGCGAAGATTTGATGATCCTTGAAGTACTGGATTTTCCTTGTCCACAAATCCCTGGGTTTTCCCCTAAAAATATTTAACATTTTTTTGTGCAACCATATATGTCTCAACCATACAGTACAAACGTATTTGAAATACTTACTTCAACTAATCTATCCGGTTTATGGGAATTTCCGCTGTAATTAGCAGCTTTCCCAGACTTCCTCCACCTAGCTTCTGATCGTATAAACTTAGTCGTCTGACAATATTCGTGCAAAAGTGCGTCGATTCCTGTGTTTATCACGCTAAGAAGAATTTCCTCCATGTTGGAGGAAAGTTATTTTGTATTTTTATTTTTATAATAACAAGGATTTCTTATTTACTATATACTCCTATTGAAAATCTCTCTATGAAGGTCACATTGGGAATGAACGGCAGCCAGAGAGTGAATTGTACCTCTAGATTTTTTTAGAAATGTCTATATATCAGTACGCATCCCAGCAAAAATAATTGTGTCAAAATAACTCCCCTTATAATGCAAACATCATTTATATCTGTATTACTTAATTTAATCCAGTGTTAGGTTTATTCCATATCTTCCTCATCCCATGATTATTTTACCTAGTTATTTTACCTAGTTAGATATATCAGTCATCACTTATCATGATAACGTCATTGAGACCAGATCGCATTAAATATGCTAAACCCACAACATGCTAAATACTCAATTTTGCTCTCGTTTATTATTCATTTCCAAATACTACCAACAAGTAGTAATCCTCGTAAGTCATATATTTGTATTATTATTTATGAACTTTCCATAAGCGTATGTACATAGCAATACTTAATTGAAGAATGAGTAGAACAAAAATGCTACACTGACTCATGTGGTGGCAATAAAATGCATTTTTTTGTTACTGTGACTTCCAAAATCCAGTTTGCAATTTATTTGGCTGTTATTATATTAATTTAAATAAAATTATTTCACACAAAATTAAATTTAAAGGCACAAAATTTAACCTTTGGCAGTAATTAGGGATGTATATACATATGTATGTAAAAGTACAAGAGTTTCGGATGAAGTCCAATGATAGCTAAATTATGTCTAGAAATGCATAATCATTTGAAAAGACATACACAAATATGCAACAATATCTACCACCACAATAGCGTATCTGATCATAATGCCTTTCGTCCTGAGCATTTCGTTTTTCCACTTACGGCTCCTTCAATATTGACAGCAAAATTTAGCAGTCCCCCGACCAATTCGAATGGCACACCTCGTCTTCATTCATCATTTAAAAACACTGCTTTAGTTACCGAGCTAATAATAAATTTCCATATACCAGATAGCATTTTGAGTTGTGTATACAGTAATGCAAATTTGAGGTTTTTCAAAATTTTTTCCCATAAGCGTAATGTTATAAATATTTCAAACTGCAATTTTGAAATTTAGTGAGGGATTTTTTTTGGGATGTTGGTCTATAAATTTTGACATTTGACCCTTTTTTTCCCAAATTTGACTGTGAGTCTACCACAAATGCCGTTAGCTGTCACAGTGCAAAATTGCAAATCCTTATCTTAATACGCTTTCGCCATCCCTGCAGCGTAAAATATGGATTGTATTGAAGGAGACAAAACAGGGTAATTGTATATGGTAATACCACGATAGAATATTGTGTAAGAGTGTTTAATAATGGCAAGGTATACATAAACCACTGGCAATTTACAGGATACTTGTAGATAAGGTCATATCGATGCAACAAGTCTGGATATTTATTACGTGTCACAATTTTTGTGAGACATTACCAGCTTATCCTACCCATGTTACTGCTGCGAGTGGTGCCACGTATTTTTGATAGAGACTCATATACAAACGTAGTTGTGTCGTATTATTCGGAAAATATTTTTCTTAGTTTTCGTAGCGCTGTGAAGGTTTAATTAAATAAATCGAAATGAGTCTTTCTGAACCTCAACCTGTAGAATCTGCGGAACCGTTGGAAGAGATATTTTCCGCAATTCCTCTACCTGAACTAAATAATTTTGCAGTATTTCGTCTTCTTCAAGACGAACCTCTCCTTACTAACGTCAAGTTGGCATACGTGTTCGGGAACACGGGATTAATCGTGACAACGACGGACGAGGTTTACTCCATTGGAGAAGCAGGTGGCACGAAGGATATGACCGTAAATTTGGAAAAAGTCGAAGAACTGTGTGGTGTGGAAGTTGAAGGTATTTACATATTGGGCACACATACTTATTTTAAAAACTGTTGCCTTTAATTAAATTATCATGGAACTAAATTAAGATATTTAATTTGATCTAGAATTTACAGCAGGGACAAATCATCAATGTTTTGCGATAACAAAGACATGCAAAATATACAGTTGGGGTCGAATGAAGACAGGCATGTACCCCGTGGGAGATATATCTGTACAGCCGGCACTTTTTTCTGAGGAGACATTCCCTTTTGGCATGTCAGAATTGCAAAGAAAACAAATCATACAAGTAGCTCCTTGTAGTACACACGTACTTGTATTAATGGAAGGGGGACATGTTATTATTGTAAGACAGAAAAATAATTCAACAACAATGTCTGCGCGCCGAGCCGGAGCGCCTCAACTTATTTCAAAAGATATGTTCAAAAACAGACAAATTTTGCAAGTAGGAGCAGCAGGAACAGGCCTATGTGCTGCAATCTGTGAATTGGGGGAGGTATAATAGCTAATAACTGAAATAAATAAATAAGTTTTTTTTTGCAATTATCATAAAACTATAATTTGTTATTACTTAGCTGTACCGATGGGATTCGAGTTCCTGTAATCCTCAAAGGGCACTAGTGTCAACAACTTTTAAAAAGGTTAATTCAGATGTTTTATTTACTTATTAGAATATTTTACAGAAATTTTATTGGTGAAACTTTGATACTCTCAATCAATGATAGATCGTATCCTCGAGTGACTCCATTTTTTGCCTTAGCAAGGATGGAATCGTGTACAAAATGGTAGACGCTGATCCATGGATTCCATTTGAAAAAATAAATGTGGTCATCGATATTGCTGCTGATCCAAAGTTTGAGTTATGCGTGTTTCAATTTGTTTCAAAAATGGGAATTTATGGTGAATTCGGGGGAGCACGAGGGGGATTACTTCGATATAGAAACTACTTATCAACAGCACAAGCCTTTCAAAGCTATTGTCCAGCGACTTTGAAAACTATGAAGGGAAAACTTCAAGATGCCGACATTCCTGAGACACCTACTGTTAAGGATACAATCGAAGCAATGTGGCAGGATCCGGTAACTTATTAGATACAGTTTCAGTATTGTAGGCATGATAATTAGTAACGATGACTATCCTAAATAGAATACCCAGCTACGGATAGGTGGTTTAAATTTATAAATACGCAAGAACGGACTACTCGAATTATTTTGTCCAACGAATTTATACATTACAGTTTGAGGTTTACTAGACTCTATTTTATATGTGATTTCCTATACGTCGTCTAGATTATATTTTATTCGGTTGTTTACAATTCTCTATAAAAATAGACATTCAGAGCCGTTCCCGTGGTTACGTGTTTGCCGCACTTTGGATATTTATGCCGGACACTGGCATAAAGTGGCATAAAGAGAAATAAGGTCGGTCGGGGTGACTAGATACATCACTCTCAGGTTAACAAATTGTTAAACTTAGTTGTTTAACTTAGTTAAAAAAATTTTAACTAACAATTCAAAAAACCAAAAACATGTATGCTTAGAATTCTTTCCTCTATAATATAAAAATTCAATTTCGAAAAATTTCGAAAATTCGTATTTTTAGTCATTTTCTTGAATTTCGAAATATGCAAAATCCCGAAAAAACACGAATTTTCGAAATTTTTCGAAATTGAATTTTTATATTGTAAAGGAAGTAATTCTAAGCATACATGTTTTTGGTTTTTTTAATTCGCGCCAACATTCAAAAAGTTACAGCGATTTCAAAATTTGAGATTTTGGCTGGAAAAATATTTGAAAATCCCGCTACGCGCTCAAATGCGACCATTGGAAAAAAAAAATACGGGTCCGCTTATTTTTGATGGTGAACAAATTAAAATTAGTCCCATCAAGATCTGAGCATTACATGAGAAAAACCTGCATTGTAAGTTTACCTGAATTTTTTTTAATCAATGGAAAATCTTGCGGAAGACAACCCTTATGTTAAAATAATGAGAGAAAAAGTAAGAAAAAAAAATATTGCATTCAACCGATATCTCAAAGTGCACGAACACTTGGCTGTTCCTAATGTTAATCTGCCAGTACAATTTTAAATGTTATGGTGTCGCATTATAAGCTTCGAAACATATATTTATATACCGAACAGGGATTAAGTACTTATAGTTGAACAATCAGGGAACCAGTTCTGGACAGTCTTAACCAGTTTAAATGCATATATACAGAAAGTATTTATTTATTACTATCGCAGATGAAAAACGACATCAGCTTCTCCGTTGAGGAAAAGGTCATAGTTGCGAACAAAGCATTTCTCACTATTCGGAGCGAATACTTTGAAAAGATGTTTAGCGGCGATTGGAAAGATGGAAATGAAGGGTAAGTTTTTAATACTTTTTTTGCCGTTTGAGGTAAACTATAAAATAATAATATGTACCTCAAAGTGTATTAATAATTTCACATAATTCACTCAATACTACATGGTTATGGTTCCAGCTCAATCTTGATCACTGGAACAAATTTTCAGACATTTACATCTCTCCTTTATTTTTTGTACCATGACAAATTGAATTGCCCGAGAACAAGCTATAAAAACATATCTGGTAATCTTCATTTAGAATTACTACGATTGAAAAAGATTGTCAACAATTTATAATTATTGCAGACGTGATGATCTTGGCTGATTCTTATTGCGAATTTGGAATAAAAGAGCACTGCAAGAATATTCTGCAGGATACGCATATTACACAGCATAATGCCCTCGACTTGTACAAAATTGGACATATTAACGAAATCGATGTAAGGATATATTTCAGTATTTACAATTTTTACAAATATTTATGATTTTTATACGTAAAGAATTTAAAACGGCGAACACTTCAATATATCTTGGTGCATAAAAATCTTGTATTTGGGCCTGTCGTAAGTTTGAAGACAATTGAAACAAAACTGGGAACTTCCATCTATGAGCAGCTGATTATTTGTTTATTAAAAGGTTGAAGCAATGAAATATAGGCTGAATTTAAAATTATGTAATTTATTAAATTCTGAAATTATTCATATAAGTTAATCTTAATAAATTCATGCATTGTAATATGGTTAATTATTTCAAATTTCCTGTTATACATATATTTTAAATAATTGTTAAATATCTAAATCGTTGTATCTATGCATTCTAATCGTCAAGGAGACATCCAACGTACTTATGTGGTCAATAAATTCTGACCTCTGACCTTTAACATTTTTTTCCCAAATATTACTGTGACTCAACCACGAATGCGCTTGGCTGTTACTGTGAAAAAGTGTAAATTATTATCTTAATTCGTTTTAGAGCAACAACCATGTAAAACTGCGCAGAGTCATTGTGGCCGATGATGAATTTTCCAACATATAAATACTCATGCCAATTTTCTGAATAAAAAAGAACGGTCTTCTAACATTTATCAATTTTTTTACTGTTCAAATCTTATTTTATTAAAATTATTAATCATCATAATAATCGAATTCCCTACAGTTATGTTTTGGATTACACATGTAATCCGCAAACTGCAATATGGCAGTCAACCCCTCCTTTGCATACTCGTCTTCACGAAACACATCGGATGACCAGTGACATTGATCACTGAATATTTTGTTAATCAAATTGACTTCCCATGGTTTTCTTTCTTTACTCCATAACCCATAACTCATAAATAGTGTCGGTATGAGAAAAAAATCCCTATTCTTTTGCAAGTCTAAGACGGTACTCATTTTTGGTGGACAATCGGCATAACCGTCCGGGACTGGGTAATTATACTCAGGGCCGGCATCTTTTGGTATTTCGTCGTGCGACTTAAGGTAAGTGTCCGTGGCCAGGGCAATTATTTTGATAACATTATTTGACCCTAATGTCCACTTAATGGCAGGTTCGGTCATCGTATAGAGTAGAGCGGTGAGGCTAGATTCATTATTGTCCTTCCCTCCATACGTGCTGTTGATGGATCTTACCGCCTCTAAGAAAGCCCAGACGTCCGAAGTCGTCATGACATATTTGTAGCAGAATCCGTCCTCTAAATTATCATTTTCTTTCGTGGGGTAATCGCCGAATGTTGTTAATGAGAATTTGGAATTCTTGTTTTCAAGATACAATTGGAGGACGATTGATTTCGTAATTCGTACCAATTTATCAAGGAATGACTCGTTTCCCCTATAACCCGTGTTGAAGTTGTCTGCAATTAATTCAAATTAGATAAGCGTTTTTAGAACTATTTATGAACGTTGGAATATTCAAAATACTGGCCTAAAATACTCGTTTGAAATATTTATTTTACCAACAAAGGTCATAGTGGCGTCGACCACTAGTGCAAATTCGTACACTACTTTACACTTGGGAAACTTTTCTTTACTTCGTGAATGAACAGATGTCAATGGCAAATACAGTTCTGACTGGGACATCTGACTGGATAAATTATTCATGGCCCGATTTTTGTGAAGGGCTGGAAACGGATCTCTGGAAGGAAATGAATATCATATGTAAGCGGAAAAGTTGTTCTTTCCCTGAATACTGTGATCTGATGAGACCTTGTTGTTAACCCTGATCAGGAATTGTGTAATGTAATATTCCACTATGTTTTTAATCGATTTAAATAATTGTGACAAACATTATCTATAAATATTTATTTTCAACTTACGTTTTCAAAACATTAAAATGTATTGTCTGATTGGCGGCATACTTCCTATCGAACAGTTCTATACGACTCGAATAGGTGGATTTCGCCGAAATAAGGAAGAACAGAACAACTAGGAAATAATTTCGCATTTTAAGTTGGACTGACTTTAGCGATGGTGAACCACCTGGTTTACATGTGTCAGTAAAAATTATATTTATGTACATATTGTAACTTAATAATTGTTCTATTGTCTAATTTATTTATTCAATAGAGTAGAACAATAGTGCCCAAAGACAGGCCGAACAGAAGGCCAAATTTGTTTATTTCCTGGTCCGCAGAAATATTTAATACAAAAATATTTTATTACAAGCAGGGTAGTATATTAAATCTGAGATTCATTTCGCAGTTTAAATATTTAGAACTCAAATTTTTATTAACGTTATACCTTCTCACTGAATAGTTGGGGAATATAATCAATTTCCTAAAAATAGTGTTAAGTTTAGGTTGGTCGGAGGCAATGGGACGGCAAAGGATTAGAGTTTCATATTTTTACCTGTCCAACACAATTTTTCTCAGGAGAGTGGGAAAGGGTGGTTTTTCCCACTGAGAAATTGGGAAATATGGAATGCCACCCAGCGGATTGACTTAAAGACAAGCATCTACTGATGTAAGGACTAAATTGTCTAATCTAGTTAAAAAATATAACGGGGTCCACGTATCATTGAATAGAAAAATTTTAGCCGTGGGAGATGGTGTACCCAATACAGAAGCTGTCCCGTGGGACAAGGTACTTATAAAAGTACTAGGCGATTTGGTGGTGCCCGTGGCACCACGGTAGCTTATAATATGTAGTAGGATGGGCTATAAGTTTAGAAGCTTGTCGTAGTCCACATGCAACCATACACGCTACCATCCTGACCATACATGCGTCCATAAACGAATAATCTGCTCGAGGTATGGTCGACGTCAACGTTGCAGGCCACATGTGACCCCGAACTCGGTAATGCATTGTGAGATAGGCTGAGAATAATACATACATAGAAGGGATGCGTCACTGACAGAATTTGGAAAATATATAAGTTAATGGACAAAAACGGTAACATTTGTAAATTAACTGAACAATATTTCAGGTTTTTAATTTATGTTCAGGTACTTTCCGTAGAGGTCCATCCTTAATACTTGATTCCGATGAATGAATACGTGACGAAAGTTGTGGGTCCGAGATGATAAAATATATCAAAAATGGATACTCGCATGACCAAATTTACGCACACGATTCAAATTTGCATGAACTATGTAAATGTTATTTAAATACTGAAATTATTGATTATCTAATAAGGCAAATTTGTCTTTGCTGGAACTTTAATTATTTCGCAGAGGTAGCCAATTGATTTGTGGGAAACAGATTGCAGGGATTAATGACAGTGGTATTAAATTGAGCAATTTCCCCAAATATAATTTTTAATTTCCACAAATTTCAAAGTTGATGCTTTCTGAAATTATTTTGTTCAGGGTTTGACTTTCTAGTGTCCAACAACACGCAAGTTCCACAACCTTTACAGTTATCGTTCCAATCGGACAAGCAATAGGAGAACCAAAATTGACTATAAAATGGACAACAGTCTAACCCCACATCGGGATTGCACTTGCCACCAATATCGTCCACACATTTAGGTTTTGAACGGGATGTAGCAACTCTAGTTGGTCCATTTTGTTCCTGCTTCGGCTCACAACGCCGCTAATAACAAATAAAGGTAAAACCTTAATAATTTAAAAAAAATGGCGCGTGTCCTTACATATTTGCAAGAAGGATGTTGATGAAAACCCTGTATTATTATCAAATCAGTAAACCTTGTCATAATATGTAGCTTCTGCAACTAAAATATTACCTCTACAATAAACGCGGTCAGAATGACGTATGTAAAGCCAAGGGCGGTTCTCATTATATTTGTCGCTATAGTTATGGATACAAAAAATCTGAAACGATTGTAATGCTGAGTAACCAAAAACTAAAGCCAAAGTGCCTTTTTACAGAAATTGTCTTACATAAATTGACTTTTATAAGATTCGTATAAAATAATAAATCCCCACTCAGCAATCAATTAGATTCTTCAGTGACTCCAATGCATTTAATCTTGCACAAGTATTATTACTTCAACTTATTTCTCCGTGAGCAAAATATGTAACACGATTTATATTGTATAATTTTAAACCGAACTCATTTTTTATTGAATGTCAACTTCTTTATAGTCAACTTTTATTGTTAATTTTTAAGTAGCTAATTTACTGACTTTGTACAATCGCTCTTTTATGGGCCCGGAGAGGTCGTGAAAAAGGAAGAATAAAACATACATATATACATACATACATAAAACAATAAACTCTGTAATTCGGAGATAAAGTTACGCAAAAGTTAGGTTTTTTAATAGCGTTTCTTTTTATGCGCCTAAAATTATTTTTATGCACGCATAATGCACAAAAATGCATAAAAGTTCATAAAATTAAAAATTAGGTTTAATATGACTTTAAAAACTATAAAAGTCATATGAATCTCATTTTATTCGTATACCTTGTAGGAATTACTTATTTGCACAAATTATATACGTAATGTACATCATATAACTAATTCATCCCTCACGTTAATCCAGCGTCCTTCGCCATACTGTAAAACATCGACGTCGTATGCGCCATTAGATTTTCTGGTGAATCAAACTCAACAATTTGACCTTTGTCGAGTACCACGATTCTAGAAAGCCAATACGTATGTACGACATTACAAAAATCTGGGATTGGTATGGGATAAGAAAAACTGTGCAATTACCTTGTCGAATCCATAATTGTATTTAACCGATGCGCAATCGTTATCACTGTCGAATCCGCAAATTCTTGCCGAATTGTTTTCTGAATGAGGTCGTCCGTTTCGACAATGAAGTCGACAGCCGCAGTGGCCTCGTCTAGCACAAGTATTTTCGTTTTCCTTAGCAATGCTCGAGCCAGGCAAATGAGTTGCTTCTGGCCTACGCTGAAGTTTTGCCCCTCCTCAGCCACCTCATACTGCAGGCCTTGTGGCAAGCTCATTACATAAGATTTTAAATGGGCAGATTCCAAAGAGTCCCAGATTTGTTGGTCAGTATGGGCATCAAAAGGGTCTAGGTTTGTTCTTAATATACCTGAGAAAAGTACTGGATCCTGCGGAATGATTGTGATTTTTGACCTTAAGTCGTGCAATCCAATCTCCGTGATGTCTTGACCATCAATTATTATCTTGCCGGAGGTAGGCTCAATTAATCTGAATAGTGCCAGTGTTAAAGATGATTTCCCCGCGCCAGTTCGCCCCACTATAAATACATCGAACAACGGCATATTCAGTCACATTTAGGGATTTAATAAAGTTGTAAATTTACTATTTATCATACCGATTCCAATTTGTTCACCGGGATTAAAAGTACACGAAATCCCTCTCAGCACCAAGTCAAGTCCTTCGCGATATCTAGTCTCGTAATTCACGAACTCAACCCTGCCCTGTGTCGGCCATTCTTTCGTAGGTCGCAAAGTAGTCTGCCAAGCGGCTTCTTGTGGTGTTTCATTGACCTCACTCATTCTCTCGACAGAGACTATGTTGGATTCTAGATCGGAGGCTTGTCGCACCAAGAAGTTTAAAAGTACAGTTATCTGGAGGGCAGAAGAAATACACAAACCCGCAATTGCAGGGTCGACGTTTGAGGCCACCGCAAATACTGCTGATGCAAATATGATAAAGCTTCCAATTGTCTCCAAGCGGGTAGTGATCCATCTAACGCGGACGTATTTTAGACTTTTGCACTGTGCAGATTAAATAAATAAATGATATAACTTACAAACTTGAAGATATAAATGGATAATATGCCTTCTGATTATCGTTAATTTTTTGATGGCTTTCAGAAATGAATTCGTCTTGAAGACCAAATGCGCGGATAGTGGTAGATCCAGTTATTACCTCGCCAAATTTTGAGTAGATCGGAGACCTTGAGACGGACTCGAGACGTTTCAATTGGCAACGATGGCTTTCAATTGGAAGTGGCAACGTAAAATCTCTATGGAAATAATAATAAGTTTTTCTGTATGTGCGAAAATTCCTTACAAAATAAGAATTAAATATAAATTGCTAACTCACCTGTAGGAACAGGTAAAAGACCGTCACAGGAGCAATAAAAATCAAGAACAATGGCGTGGAATAAGCAATGTTGAAAATCGCACTTAATGTATTCAAGAATATGTTCAATCCACTTCGAATATTTTGTGGTAAAGTAATATCTGCGGTGTCGACATCCTTCGTAAATTTATTCATCAAACGGCCTAGAGGCGTGGTGTCGAAAAACCACATCGGGGCTCCGATAATCTTGTACAACATGTTGGAATGAAATCTCTCTGATGCATTCAACGTTGCAATCGCAATACTTGCGGCACCAATCAAGATTGCCACACTTTGAATACCTCCAAGTCCACCGTAACCGCTTAAGTATTTATTGGTCGTATCCCTGTTCTGAATTCCATTCCTTTCCTGCTCATCAATCGTGGCCTGTTTGGACCATGCAGAAAGCCAGATGTTGCCATAAGTGGCCGCGGCGGTTGAGAGGAGGATAAATCCAAATGCTGATAATGACATGAGAAGCCCAGCATTCTTTATGTAGTCGACCAATACCTTGGCTTGAATATTTCCAGATTGTGCTTTCTCGACTTGAATAAGTTTCAGCAATTTCTTGTTTGACTTGGGTAGCACTCCGCTTTCCTAAACTTTCCTGCGTTGACCGCCTCTTTTTCAGAATGACTTTGGAAGAATTCCTTCTCAAGGCCTCCACCCCGACTATTTCTTCAAGTTCCTCGACAAATTTTTCGTCGACCTCCTCCCCTCTCCTGTGTTCAAATGTTGAGCTAAAAATTCGGCAAAACTGCCTCGATTTCGTATTAGTTCTTTGAAAGTCCCCGTCTCGCTAACTCTCCCGTCTTTAAGGACTATAATGTTATCAACTTTTGGAAGAAATGAGACGCCGTGGGTCACAAGGACTCTAGTCCTATAGTGAAGTAGACCTTGGGGTCCGATAAGTTTATCGAATATGTGCTTCCCTACGTGCGCATCAACGGCGCTTAGCGGGTCATCTAGAAGGATAATGTCGCTCTCTTTGTAGGCAGCTCTAGCAAGGGAGACCCTTTGCTTCTGGCCGCCAGAGATATTTATTCCTTTCTCTCCTATCTCGGTTAGGTCACCATTATCCAAGAGTTCCAGGTCAGGACCGAGAGCACATGCGTCGATCACGCTTTTATACTTGTCCTCTTTGAAGCCGTCCTTGAACAAGATGTTGTCCCTCAAGCTGGCATTTTGAATCCATGCGATTTGTGCGACATAAGACACCGAACCATCAATGTTTACGGAACCCTTGTGTTTCCTCATATCGCCGAGTAATGCAGATATGTAAAAATGTAAATAATAAATTTTAAATAAAAGAATTACCCGAAATTCAGAACCACAAAAGTCTTCCATTTTTTAAATTTTGCACAGAGTGCTAAATTACGGCTTGTCAATTCCACGGCTGCTACGCAATTAATTAAATACGGTGGACCTCATCTACCTTATCAAATATTGCCCGAAATTACAACCCGTGATTAATTGAAATGTAGTTGTGATGATTTCACCATGTGATGAGGAAATATGTCACGTAGGTTTGCCGATAAAAAAACCTCGTGAGTGGAGTAGGAAATTTCGTTGTGCTATGCACTGAGGTGATAAACGTCGTGTTTTTTTATCTAATCTGACTTTAATTAATTAGAGGTACGAACCCGTTACTGTTTCCCATTGCAAATAATGATTCATCGTTCATCCATTTATACAGTATTTTCGAGCAAAACTGAATATTGTCTCCGAACTCCGATTGTCTCCGATTGTGACAGTAGCTTAAAATTTTTCACTACACTGGTCATCATTTCATTAGAATTATAGTAGGGAAAAGGAAGAGAAGTCTTTTCAAATTCCTCACGTTTTTTTTCGGTACAATCTTAGTAAAATTTGAGTACCTCAAGAGCTGCAATAAATGATTGAATAATTTTACAGTTACAGTCCGATAGATTTGTATCTCCCCATTGCATGTTCCCCACTTGGTACACGATTTAAGAGGTGTTGCATACTTCCAGTTCAAAACAATTTTTCCCTGTGATTTCAGCACTCTTATCTTGACAAGCAGATACATAAATGTACGTCAGGATAATTGGTTTAATTCCAAATTTAATGGTACCATTAACTGCAATACACACAATTTGACCCTAATACTTTATCTTGCCGAATACTGTAAGGAAATTCATAAAATATGAATTTTTTGCAAACATATTATTTTATTAATTATTCTCACCATTGATAAGAACTGCAGGAAAGCGTAAAACCACTCAACCTCGTGCTTCGCAACGAATGCATGCTTACATACATCAACTTTTATCATGCAAACTATTCACAATCTAATCCTCCAAAGGCCGTCAACATTGTAGGATGGGAGGAGGTATAGTGTTATTTTATACGGGGAGATTTCGTGGCGACATTGTCCCGTTGCCTCCACATTGCATTCAGCTGCCACTGGTCATCCTTTATTTTCTGACACGTAACCTGCATCTCACACATTAGCACTGACAAAATAATTTTACCGTACAGTGAAACGTAAATACCCGACCAAAAACCCGAATCCGGGAATGTGGGATCTTTTCGCATACCCACTTCACTTTTCATCATCATGCACGGTCAATACGTTTCTGAATATTGCCAAACTCTACTTAACTAATACTTATGTACACGTTGAGAGATTCCGTCTGACAAATTACGCACCAACTTTCTCCATGTGATCATACTTTACATAGAGTGGAAATATTTTAATTCCTATTTTTCTAACTTATTTTCTAACTTATTCCTTACTTATCTTAATCAAAGATGGGCTGCACAATGTCCATCGAGGAGAAGGCTGCCGTTGCACGGTCCAACGAGATTGATAAGTATTTGGCAGAAGAAGCTTTACGGTCAAGCAGAGATTTTACTTTGCTACTTCTCGGTAATTAATTGGATATACATTTGTTAATCACAAATATATTGAAAATATGTTTATCTAGTTTTGTGCAAACTGCATGTACAGATACAAAATTTTCAGGTTGAAATCTGAATTCAAGGTCAACATATTTATGTATTGATATCAATTCACGTACAATTTCTTAATTTCTCAAACTTATACAAGATTGTCGATATTTCATTTGGCGAAATTATTCTGTAATTAATTTGATTACAAATTTATTGCCAGGTGGTGCAGAATCAGGGAAAAATACGATAATACAGCAAATGAGGTAAGCAGTAGATTACATACGTCTTATTATAGTACGGCATTAATTTTCCTTTTCCATATCCTCCAACAAGATGGAAATGCATTAGAAGATAGGAAAAATGAAAATGAATTTCGTATTATAAATGGGGAGTTCTTCATGAATTTTATCGTACAAATAAAATTCTTACACATTTTGAAATAGAATCATATACGGGGTAGGATTCACCCAAGAAGATTTAAACACGTATCGCCCTCTCATCTACAACAACACGATTTATTCATTCATAAGCATTTTAAGAGCTATGCCCAGTCTTGGGATAAGTTTTCGCAACAATGAGAGAGAAGTGGGTAGTGGATATTATATTTTTTTCTAACATCAAACTATGGTACATAATGTCATAAAATATTTATGTCCATTCCTTAATTCAATATTTTCCAGTTTGATGCAAAGCTGGTGTTTGATACCGCACAAAGGTTCCATGACACGGAACCATTTTCAGAAGAATTGCTTCTCGCCATGAAAAAACTCAGGGACGATGCGGGGGTGCAGGAATGTTTTTCAAAATCGAACCAGTTTCAGATAAACGATTCTGCCCAATAGTAAATTTTATAAATATATGAAGATTAAACTGGTAATTAATTGTGAATTTCAGTTTTCTAGATTATTTGGATAGAATTGGGATGTCCAACTATGAGCCGACAGAACAAGATATTTTGCGCACCCATGTCAGCATTTGTGGATTTAATGAAATCACCTTTCCCATTGGAAACTTGAACTTTACAATTTATGATATTCCCAATGTGCGTTGCGGAAGTAGGAGAAAATGGAACCACATTTTTGAGACAGCGACAGCCATCATGTTCTGCGTCGCGATGTCGGAATATTATCAGGTATCTATGTAAATAAATGGAAGGAATTCACGCGTATGTACTTACTGTTGGATCGTTGTAGCAAGTTTTTAAAATTCGCAAAATATTTAGTTGAAAATCTTGGTTTGCAAACTTGGGCAGGTTTGCAAACTTGCCCAAGTTATTGGTGAGCAAAAAATTTTGCAAAAATTAGATAATCTTACGCTGCGAAGTACACGTGAATACCGTCATGGCATATGTGCCTTAATCTGATTAATCTAATCTGTCTGATTAATCGACGTTAAATTAAATGTCAGGTTTTATACGAAGATGAAACCACAAATCGCATGCAGATGAGCTTGTCATTGTTTGATTCAATTTGCAACAACAAGTGGTTCACAGACACGCCGATCATTCTATTTCTGAAGAAGATGGATTTATTCAAAGAGAAAATTAAAAAGTCTCCTCTCACTCTATGCTTCCCAGACTATAAAGGTGAGATTAGTGCAGTTATTTTTGTCAAATTATTTCTACACCTTTATAAAAAAAATATAGATAGGTCGTGGCGACGAAAATTCAGCGGTGGATTATATCATGACCCAATTTGATGTCAAGAATAAGTCGACGACAAAATCAATATATTTCTACAAGACATGTGCACTGGATGGATGGACTATAAAAACTGCGTTTGATGACATTGTTAAGAATCGTTTATACGAGGGTTTCTGCACTTATTAAATGTGAAGGTAAAATTGGGGAAAAATGGTATTCATTATTTCAAGTCAAATTTGCATATTTTATGTTACTGAATTGTACCGCAGAATTTATTTAAGGTATGGAAATCATTTAAGTTTGTATTTTTTGATAATATAAGTATTTGGGTTGATTTTAGTAAATCTATACTAATTGTAATATTAAATGTGATATATAGTTAGTTATATACCTATCTATGATTTTATTATGAACGCACAAAATTTATTTCCCAAGTAAATTATTATTACTGAATAAATTGCTCCTTATTGCCCTTCAATCACAATTAAAGATAAATGTACCTGTTCATAGCAGGTGTATTAAATTATTCCTTCCGAATCAGCATTTCAGATCTGATCGATACCAATCATTTGAACGACAACAGGAGTAAATTTGCTGTCTGGCTATTGCAAAAATGCAAAATGGCAAGTGGCGTCATGCAGTCGACAAATTTCGACCCAAACCACAATTTCAGTGGCATCATTGATTTTAACATTTTCCTCGCCAATCTAACACTTTGTCGTCCACCATTTTGAAATTTTCGCCCATCGATCAACCATTTGCAACTCTTTCCGTAAATTAATCCCGCACCACTTAACCAGATCAAGTTGATGAGCGCAGTGTTGGAAAAGGCGACAGCGGCAAACGACATGCTCCAGACGTTCGACGACCCTTAGAGCGTTATGAGGAGGAAAGATGCCAGAATTTGTGTCGCTGGTGCCGTAAACGCTGCCAGGGGGAGTATACGATTCCTTAAACACAGATTTATTAGAGCTGCCAGTACTTGGAGTTTTCTATATTCTTGGGAAAACACGTGTTTCTCGAATAGCTGGATTGCCTCCTCAAAAATGAATAAGATTGTGGGAAGGATGACGTAAAATGCGTAAAATACTCCAATAATTGTGACGCAAAAGAGTAGAGTGAATTCGTAAATCGCTATGAGAAAGCGAGCCAAGAGGATAAAATTCGTGCAATGACTCCTAACGGGTAGAATTAGAGATCCCAAAAACGGAATTTTGTACGGTCGGAAAAACGCCAAAGTTCCAATTCCCAGAGGCATCAGTATCGTTGAGGGAATCACGGTGTAAATTAGATTTAATACTTTTAGTTTCGATTTTTTTCCTTTGGGTTCTTCCATTTCTGAAAAAAATAAGTAAATTATTTAATAATGTGATAGGTCATAATATGACGATAAGCTTGACTATACAGATATGTATGTACAAATAGTGGAAATTGTATATCACAACCCTGTGATACATAAGGTGACTCTACTGGAGTAGTAATAATTTGGCACCGCATACATGTAACATTGTTACCAAACTGTGATATTTGTCAGCCATTTTATAACAGTACTAGTTTTTATGAGCTAACAGAATTGGCCCTAACTATAGTGAGTACATAGAAAAGTGGGTAACTTTTAAGCCCGTCCAGTGCATCGAAAGTCTCGTTGGGGCGAAGAAAGATTGTGCGCTGTGGGAAGTTCAAATTGAACAAACAAACTTGCAGCAGAAATTCTCTTTCTGACAGTCTCGACTACCACAACTCATCCCCAGTATTCCGGTAACAATACATATCGAGAAACCAGTATATTCATTTTGTCACCGCCGGTGATAAAATTAAATCATGCATACATATTACCTCCTTCATTTGAACACATAACGTTCAGCAGTTGAATACAACTTGTGTCGACGTCCGACTCGAAGCGAAGTGCGAACGTGACCGCCACCATTATTGTTATCAATCCACCCTCCAGCTTATCTAGGAGGGTGTATGATGCTGACCCGAAATAAGTGAGGAAGTGGAGAAATAGAGATACAAAATGCAGGAAATTATGCAGCCTAATAAAATAGTTGATTTTTTGCGATGTCGAGGTAACTTTCCACTCGAAGCGTCCCATGCGTAGCTGATACACCCGGTTTTGTGAACGTAGTGCAAATATTTTTGCAATTGTTGACGAAATATTTCTGAGAACATTGTTAGGGCAGGAATGAATCTGGTTTTATGAAACTTGTACCATATGCCGCTCTGGTTGCGAATTAATGAAAATCAGTATTTAATTTATTGTAGCATGTTTCAAGCTAATGGTTGACAATTTCAGGTCTGGAGGCAATCTAGTGTGTCTAAATAGGAAGCGTATTGCCGTTGTTTTATCGACTAATTCTTAATTTCTAGTTTAATACCGAATAATTGGAGACCAATTTTCCTTAGAAGGTTAAAAATGATTGGAAATGATTTATCGGCCAAATCATAATGGAGGAGTCGGAAAAGACCAAAGTGTAATTAACTGAATCGAAGACGACAATTAAGATAAATTCTGATATGCATTAAACTATGTATAATTTGATAACAATTTTATGTTAGATCCTGAACACCAGGAATCCTACACGATATTACTTACTAATATAGCTACTAATGTACATATTATTTGTTTTGGAGTCGCCAGGTATTTGGGGCAGGAGGGTCTTGCCTCATAAATGAAATTGGGAACAGAATTGCCCGCAAAACGGGCGACAAACGAGCGGCCGCATTCCTGCGTTAACGCGATTTCTTTGGCAGGTACGTATAATACTAATCAACATTCAAACTCAACCCGTCCTTGTCAATAATCCTGTCTTTTTATCAGGGTTTCGTTTTTAAATGTCCAAAGCTGTCCAAAAGTGGGAGAAATGTCCAAAAGTGGGAGAAATGTCCAAAAGTTGGAGAAAGTCTCTCATTGGCCACGTTTGGCCACTTTTGGACATTTTGGACACTTGCCATCTATATTGGTGGCCGGCTAAAAATGCCTTTTGGACACTTTTGGACACTGTACTGTCCAATTTAGTTTTGGCCACTCGAAACCCTGCTTTTCAGTATCTCCCATATTTCGTCCCACAATTTAAACCCAGCTAGATAATCTAGCTAAATAAATCATTATTGAGTGAATCGTATTTTCTGCATTGCTGTCTTTATTATTCGTTAACTAAATTATACATACTTTTCTATTTAAAAGTTTATAATCTTTGCGACAGGATGGGAAAATAAACCAATGCCGCCGCTACTTTTGCAAATACCGCGAGCTGATTTGAGCTGCCTTCCGCCGCCACGGTAGAAGTGGCTGGGAAGGTGGGACGTGCGCTCGGTGACACCCCTTCTTCCCACTCTTTAAGAACAAAATCCGATAACATTTCTCCAATCATGAAACATGGCGCGTGGATATTTGCATTCGTGATTGTCGGAAAAACTGAAGCGTCCGCAATCCTTAGTCCCAGTACTCTGTGTACCTTGAGGTTAGAATCCACCACGGAATTTTGCACATCCCCGGTCTTCCCCATTCTTGCCGTGCAAGAGGGATGATGGCCTGTCCCTACATGAAAACAAATATGTATTTCCACCATCTACTCGTTATGGTTGAGGCAATATTAATATATCAAATTGCTATTTGATTATTCTGAGAGGTTAAATGGTGCTCGAATAGAAATTACGCATACACCGCCACCTAACCTTTCAGTAAAAAATTGATAAATCCATATTATTTCACTTACTCGCATAGTGTCTCAAGTAGCACTTGAAATATTCGTCCGACCTATCCTCAAACATGGCGCATTGCTTCATCTTCCCACTCCAAAACTTGGTCCCAAACCTAGCAAAGCTTTCACTCTCTTCGAGCAAAGTTATCGAAAATTTTAGCATGTCCACCATATCTGTTAAATCCTCGTCTACATCAAAGTAATTGACACCAATTTCCGGTGGGTGGATCGGGTTGGACGAATTCAGCCTGATGGCTCCCTCACTTTTCGGGAGGGCGTGATTGATGACCAGAGTTACCGAGTACGGAATGAGGGCCGGATCCTCGTCCAAATCGTATCCTGGCCAGTTGGGGCGGAAACTGGGGAGAAGTTGGAAGAGGGCATTGGGCCAGGTGGGGTCCCCCTGAGTGGAAGTGATAGCCGCCCCAGAAAATAGGGGGGATGAAAGTGGACCTGTTCCATTCTGGGCGTATTCCTCTTCTACCTCAGGACCAGATACGACTGGCGGAATGTAACTCGTGTTTAGAATAAATGGACCGAAGAGAACGCCCGGATGATCCTGGAGACCTTTCCCAACGGCAGGAATGTCAATACGGGGAGTAATCTGGGATTTAGTAGAAACTTAAGGTAAAGATGAGGTCATGCATGGCCATGAATCACATTACCCCAACGTCTCCCAAATGAGCAGCGTCCCCTATGCCGGATAGCATGAGTAGTTGCGGAGTTTGATAAGCACCGGCACTCAGAATAACTTCCTTTCTTGCTTTAATGGTCACCTCGGCCCAATGTCGGGTGAATGTGACGCCCTCAATCACAGCCTCGTTCCCGTCGGCAAAGTTTAACTAAATATTTTTTACCACGAATCAATTTAATTAAATATGCAGTTACGAAAAAAAACACATTAAATATTTTTGTACCTTGGTGACATACGCGTTACACAAAATTTTCAAATTGGGTCGATCGCGCGCCGGCACGATATAGCCTTCGTATGCTGAGCTGCGACGACCACGCTGGTCAATATTTACTTGACTTGGGAAAAATGAAGATAGTTGGTCCGCATTTTGATCCAGGTTAATTGGATACCCGAATTGTGCCCCGGCGTCTAACCACTCGTCGTTTAGTGGGGGGAAGTTTTGGTCAGTGATTTGCAGTGGGCCACTATCACCTCGGTATTCTGAGCCTGATACAAATATAAAATGTGAAGAATGTGGTGTCTTAACATGGAAGATTTAAAAACATGAATACATAGAAGCCAAATAATCAATGAAACCCTATTAAAATTTTGAAGATGATGCGCGACAAAATATGGGGCAAGAATGTGAACTAATATTACATAAGTTACTTTTTTAGTTGAATAAATTGCGCACCAATTTCAAATTCAACTAATCACAATTCACAATTGTCATAACGGCAAAATGGAAATGTGCTACATATAGTCTTTTATACTTTCGTGCTATTAAAAGAAATACTCACTTGTGTCGTAGTTACCGTAATACGTCTCAATTTTCTTGAGATACGGCAGGACGTTTGTAAAATTCTACCGGTCATCTTCAACAAGTAATGCCCACTTGTTAAAATCCTTGGCGTTTCCTCGGATGTAATACATTCCATTATGACTACTACTGCCCCCAAGCATCTTCCCTCGGTAAAGTTTTATCCTCTGCGATTTTATGTATTGTTTGAGAAAAATATAAATAAATATTAATAAAATTACGTTCTTAACTCAACAAGGTCCAATTTGCAATATACAATACAATATTGATGACACACATTTAGGAAACTGTCATATCGCAAAGATTCGGTCTTACTGGTTAGATACGGATTCAGAACTTTGAAAAGTGAAGACTCTTGTCGAATGACGAACTAGATTTTGTGGCTTTAAATCTAAAATTTCTTTCATTTTTGATTGTAGTCAGTTCGTTTTGCACATCCAAAACACTTTTTGGACAAGCCCGTCACTATAGGATTGCCAATGAGCTAAGCACTATCTCATCTCATCTCATCTCATTACCTAGCGAGATGAGATGGACCTTAAATGAGATAATCAAGATGTCATCTCGGCTCATTACATACATCTCACCTCACTTCAATATGAAGTTACTCAAATTGCAATAATTTACAATGCAAAGTATTATTTTGCGCTAAAAAAATATTTATCAAAAAGTTATTCATCAATTTGATTAGAAACGTAAAAAATATTATCTAATCTAGTCTACTCGTTGCCATACATTTTTTAAACTGTCAACAATAATGTCTGCTTAATTTTTTTTCTGACTTCCATTTGATTAAACCTTTTATCAGATACGCTCCTGAATTGTTCCTGGCTTCACTCAACGCTTGATTCTTTGATACCTATAAAATTTGAAATCTAAAAATGTCCGCAAGCACACAGGATTAATTTTCACCTAAAACAATTTTCTGAAATTGTGATTTAATATTCAAAAAATACTTTGTGAAGGTAACGCTTCACAAAATTTGGTCATGATTGGCAGTAATAAGTTTGGCAATAAGTACTTCTCACCAAAATTCATCTCATCACACGTTTATTTTTTCTCACTCATATCATATGAGTCATGTGCTGTCTCATATCATTTATGTCCCGTCTCATCTCATCATGATATGAGATAATCATCTCACCGGCAACCCCGTGTTCAAACCAAAAATATACCAAATGGATAATAGTGGTTTTGGGGTAATAATCTACTTGTATAATTCGTATCCCTCACTGGTGAATGCTAAGGAATAAGAACAATACAAGTAGGTCCTTATCCTAAGACCATCTTTGCTCATTTTGTAAATTTCAAATACTTTTAAAAACCTCAGACTTCAATATTTTTATATGAATTTGATGTATAAAACCACTTTTGGACAATGTCCGATAGACAATATTGTCCAGCTGAAACCCTACATAGTTTGGAATTCACTGTGTAAATTTCTGGATCCGTACCTCGAAGCAATTTTATTTAGAATTAAAGGGGTGCGAAAAATATTCTGATATACTGTAGAGTCAGTTATATTCTTAAACATTCGGGAAAATACAAATCTAACCCGATTTTCGATGGGAAAAGCAACATATTGGTGGGTCTACATTCAGTGTAGCTGCGATAGCGCAAGCTACATTGTTTTTGTCTACCAGGCCAGAGGTCTTCAGTTCGATTCTTGGTGAGTGCATAAATTATTTTTTGCATTATGTATTTCGATTTTTTTGGTGCAATTCAACGTTTATTTACTATTAATGTTTGCAAGTTAATGAGGCAATTCACGACCCCCCTTCGTAACCTTCGTAACTATGTAAACTTTGTAAACTCATTCATAAATTATTTTTTATGAATGAATTTACAAAGTTTACAAAGTTACGAAGGTTACGAAGGGGGGTCGTGAATTGCCTCAATGAAATAAGTGAAGTAATCAGGATTTTGTGTAAAATTGCATAAATAATGATTTTTTTTGCAATAATTTAGTCAATTGGAAGAGGTCGGATTTAAATTTTATATTGCTCAGAATCCTGGTTGCTTCACTTATTTCATTAACTTGCAAACATTAATAGTAAATAAAAGTTGAATTGCACCAAAAAAATCGAAACACATAATGCAAAAAATAATTTTTGCACTCACCAAGAATCGAACTGAAGACCTCTGGCCTGGTAGGCAAAAACAATGAAGCTTGCGCTATCGCAGCTACACTGAATTTAGACCACCAATATGTTGCTTTTCCCATCGAAAATCGGGTTAGATTTGTATTTTCCCGAATGTTTAAGAATATAACTGACATTACATTATTTGGAAAACCGAATCCAGCCTTAGTTTGAGGTGTTGACAAGAAATTCCAATCCCATTGCGACTGGTCACAAGTTTCTTCCGCTCGACGAGGAATTTCAGTGGACCAGTGGGGTGGACCTCCAGCTTCAAGCAAAAGAACTGCGTGAAAGATGTCATGATTTTCAGCTTTACATCAATATTTCCAGGTTAGTGATGGATAAAGTTATGCATTCCGTCTTGAACATACCTGAATAGGTACCACTTTCTGAAAGCCGATTAGCAACCACAGACCCAGTTGCGCCCGCACCAACTGCGATAGTAAATATAATTTATTGCAAAGTGAAACTTTAAATTTAATCCCCTTATTTTTCGACTTTCTCCGTCCGCCTAATTGTCGAACGTAAATATATCGATATAAACATACCCACAATAAAGTCAAATTCTTCATCCACCATAGGATTGTTTTCTAGGCAATTTTCATATTCAAACTCCGCAGCGTAAAGCTTTTGGTCAAAAAACAAGAGTAAAATAATAAACAATTTTAAGAATTCCATCATCTTACTCCATGAACTTATTCTAGTTTTTTAAACTATAAATATGTTTCTCTTCTGTTCGGGCTAGACACTCAACTGATTGCGTTAAGCTTAATTACATACAGTTTATGCAACACATTGGAATTTTGTCATTGTATTTATAATCCCCTTTATAGATTAGATATGTGATTGACATCTGGGGATTACTAACTTGGCTGGCTGTCTGAAACTATTTTTCAGCATGGAATGGATGTACCTTAAAATTTCAACAGTCATTCTCCTTCAGTAAGTTCATAACGGAGTACAATATGCAGCAAAAATCGCTGACCCCCCCCCCATTTAATATTTATTCGCTTATCTCATTTATAAAATAATTCCTTCATAGAGGTGCTTATATTGGAGTGCAAGTGATGAATTATTACTGATGGTGGTCAGCATATGCAGGAGTAAACAGGGGCCGTGCAAGCGAATGTGCGTTATGATGATAACTCCACAGTTAACATCAAATTTAAATTTCACCCTAGACATTTCAAATTTGGCATGCACATACATCCAAGTTTAGTGCTTCATAATAAATATGTAATCAGTTCTCGTTCCAATAACGGAAAATTTTGTTTAGAAAAATGAAAAAATCTGAATTCTCATTATTTCAATGTTATTTTGTTGTTTTTGGATTTCTGCTGCGTAGGTCCGTTCCGTATGAGTCGTGGAAGTTTTTGTGACTCAATTACAATGTAGGGACTTTTCTATGGGTCCTCCAAGGGAGTAGTTCCTACAGCGATTGGCCTAACTTGAAAAAGCATGGAAAAAAGAATTGCTATAAATATGTACTATTCAGTAAGTTATCGACTGGATACCTCGGTATAAGATACGCTCTTAAATTAGAAATGTATTGGTCCTTTTTTTATTATAAAGCCGATAGTATTTAATAAAATATGTATCACATTTAATATTACACTTATGTAGATTTACCCAATCAACTCAAATACTATATTAGCAAAAAATACAAACTTAAGTAATTTCCATACCTTATATAAATTCTGCGGTACAATTCAATAATATAATATATATAAATTTGACTTGAATTAATGAATACCATTTTTCCCCAATTTTACCTTCACATTTAATAAGTGCAGAAACCCTCGTATAAACGATTCTTAACAATGTCATCAAACGCTGCTTTTATAGTCCATCCATCCAGAGCACACATCTTGTAGAAATATATTGATTTTGTCGTCGACTTATTCTTGACATCAAATTGGGTCATGATATAATCCACCGCTGAATTTTCGTCGCCACGACCTATCTATATTTTTTTTATAAAGGTGTAGAAATAATTTGACAAAAATAACTGCACTAATCTCACCTTTATAGTCTGGGAAGCATAGAGTGAGAGGAGACTTTTTAATTTTCTCTTTGAATAAATCCATCTTGTTCAGAAATAGAATGATCGGCGTGTCTGTGTACCACCTGTTGTTGCAAATTGAATCAAACAATGACAAGGTCGTCTGCATTCGATTTGTGGTTTCATCTTCGTGTAGAACCTGACATTTATTTTAACGTCAATTAGTCAGACAGATTACATATGTAGATTAATGCACATATGCCATGACGGTATTCAAGCGTACTTCGCAGCGTGAGATTATCCAATTTTTGCAAATTTTTTGCTCATCAATAACTTGTGCAAGTTTGCAAACCGATTTTCAACCAAATATTTTGCGAATTTAGCTAACTTTAACTATTTGTGAACGTTGCTACTGTAAGTACGCGTGAATTCCTTCCGTTTATATACATACATAGATACCTGATCATATTCCGACATCGCGACGCAGAACATGATGGCTGTCGCTGTCTTAAAAATGTGGTTCCATTTTCTCCTACTTCCGCAACGCACATTGGGAATATCATAAATTGTAAAGTTCAAGTTTCCAATGGGAAAGGTGATTTCATTAAATCCACAAATGCTGACATGGGTGCGCAAAATATCTTGTTCTGTCGGCTCATAGTTGGACATCCCAATTCTATCCAAATAATCTAGAAAACTGAAATCATAATTAATTCCCAGTTTATTGTTCATACATTTACAAAATTTACTATTGGGCAGAATCGTTAATCTGGAACTGGTTCGATTTTGCAAAGCACTCTTGCACACCGGCATCGTCCCGGAGTCTTTTCATCGCCAGCAGCAATTCTTCTGAAAATGGTTCCGTGTCAGTGAACCTTTGTACGGTATCAAACATCAGTTTTGCATCAAACTGGAAAATATGCAATTATGGAATGCATATATTTTCTGACATTACTATAAGTATGATGTTAAAAAAATATAACATTGACTACTCACTTCTCTCTCATTGTTGTGAAAACTGATCCCAAGACTGGGCATAGCTCTCAAAATGCTTATGAAAGAATAAATCGTGTTGTTGTAGATGACAGGGCGATACGTGTTTAAATCTTCTCGGATGAATCCTACGCCGTATATGATTCTATTTTCACGATTTTCACGAAATTCATGCACAACACCCAATTTATACTACGACATTCACTTTCATTTTTTCTATCTTCTAATGCATTACCATAGTGTCGGAGGATAGGGAAAATGAAAATTAATTTCGTATTGTAGTGAGACGTATGTAATCTACTGCTTACCTCATTTCTTAGGTGAGGCAAAGCCGGAAAGCGGGGCCCCGTCTCAAAAAGCAAATGTAAATATGCTAAAGTTGGGCCCTGCGAAGCATAAGATATGCATTCAGCGTGGGTGCTCAAAAAGTCCCACAAGGTTTCAGCCAAAACGATGAATCGAACCAAAAAATGACAAAAGGCAAAATCTTTACATAATTCTCTAACTTAATTTCTTTCGATTGAAAAAATTAAGTTTTGTTAGTTTTTCTTATAGAAAACGAGTTCCGAACCACTTACATAACTAAATACATTGAGCCATATATCAATGACAATAAGCATGACCATAACACCACGATCATCAAATGTAGCCTACATGGCTCTGGGCTAGTGCCTCCGGGTTCTGGCCCTGTAGGTTCCGGGTTCGATACCCGAAAGGTTCCATTTTTTTTGCTCGTTTTTGCAAATTCTAATGTATTTCTATTAACATGGGAAACTTTTTTAATGTAACAACTAATCATGTTACACCCCCCAGAGAGGGGTGTGGTTACGGGTTAAAATTACCTGATGCATTTTATACATATTTTTTTCGAATTATGGGGGCAGGAGTCTTGGCACATGTTTAGAAAGTAAACATATTTACAACGAATCAATTTTATGTACCAGTGGTCATTGACCACACCCATGAGGGGAGGAGTTCCATATATTGAGAGTTGTGGTAATCTCAATACGTCGCTCATTTTTAACCAAAATTGATATACAATGAGCTTAGGACGTCAATATTTAATTCGATATTGTTTTTATTAATTATTTTTGGGGTGTGCCCAGTCACACCCCCTTTAGGGGCAAGATGAGATTCTGTCAAGAAACGGTGCCAAATATTGAAATAACAAATTTAAGTTACTTCGTGGGTGTTTCCCATGCAACCACAAACCTCCAGATTCTGGTCAAGGTCAAGTCGGGGAAAAGTATAAAATTCAGAAGTATTTGTGACTTTTTAAGCTACAGGGGCCAGATGATTGCGATTTTTACATTTATATGACTGCAACCTTTAATCTACTACAGCTATATATATTTGTTAATTATTACGCTCTAGAGCTGGTTAATTAATTAATTTTAAATTAATTAATTTAATTAATTAATTAAATTAGTTAATTAATTAATTTAAAAATTATTAAGCAATAAATTAAAGCGTATTTTATTTAACTTAAATTAAAATAATAAATCATATTAAAACTAGAAAATAAATATTTTTACAAAAAACAATCTTAGGTTCGGCAATTGATAACGCATATAAAACTAGAAAACAAGCAATCTTAAACTTACATTTTACTAAATGTCACAGTCCAGATTTAATTTCTTGCATTCACCATAACTGTAGTGCAATATTATTTTTATATTGCCTCGCCGTGGGCCTGTATATAAATTTAAGACCTATTATTTTGATCAGTCTTCTCCATCCTAAAATGATCTTACACAAAACTCTAATTCAATTTGTTACAGATAACTACGATGTTATATTAAAATTTACTAATGGCTAAAAGATGTCCTCCATTCCTAGATGTCAGTCAAAGACAGTCCTATGATAGAAATGAAAATAAATGTTAATTTATAACCTGGGTTATCTCGAAAATAAGCAAGCAAATATTGTGTCTGCAATTGCAGTGATTTAATTCAACATTTAGGATCATTGTAATTTTTCAGTGACACCTTAGGCCAATTTTTTATCAAATCTATCTTACGTTTGTTGCGAACTACTTTTCAGCAAAAACACTTGATACATAAATCTCTGCTTATATTTATAAATATTTTTGATTTAGGAAGCGAATGGTATTTTGTGCAGCAAGGATAGATCGTAATAATAAATTCTTAATTTATTTATTCCTCCTGCCATAATAAAATAAACATGTACACTGATAGGGCCACGGCGAGGCAATATAAAAATAATATTGCACTACAGTTATGGTGAATGCGAGAAATTAAATCTGGACTGTGATATTTAGTAAAATGTAAGTTTAAGATTGCTTGTTTTCTAGTTCTAAGGTGAGGTAAAAAGTCCATGGTTACAGTTACACCTTAGTATGCATTCACCCCCCCCCTCTCGAAACCTTGAGCACGCTCTACAGCCAAATGGGTGCGTTTTAGAGAAAAATGTCAAGAGACCTTAAAATCAATTACGGACATGATCTAGTGCTATCTGAACCAGATTTTTGATCCGACCTCCTAGAAAAAAGTTTTAGTGGTGGTGAATTTTCAAAAGTGCGATTTCTCTATGAAGGAGACTACCTACATAGCTGGGTAGCTGATTTGATGAAAGACCGCACCCACTTTATATAGTGGAAAAAAAATTTCGACCCAATTAGTCAAAAAACCACCGAGTTATCCTTATTACAAAAATTACCCATTGGTTACCATATAGTAACCATGTGGTTACACCCACAGTGCGTTATGTTTTTTTGGTGGATCTAATTTTGTTATTTGCCATACAATGAGGGTATTCATCACGAGTTCGCATCGCAACATAATTTTTTATGAAATTTTGCGAACTAAATACTAGCCTTGAGGCGCACAAGTTCGCAAGCCAATTTTCGATGGAAATATCTTGCGAACTTGCGAACTTTAATTTGTTGTTATCGTTGCTAAAGATGCGAACTCGTCATGAATACCCCCAATGTCCGTTTAGTAAAAAAAAAATTTGGGATTTACAAATTAAATTCTTAAAATGAGTAGGGAGACAAAATTTTATCCATATATTCACGCATCCTGATAAATTATGGGTTTTCGTAAACCAGATTTAATTCTTATAGAGAAAAAGAATAAAATAAAATATAACTTGAAAAAGTAAAAAATCTAAGGTGAGGCAAGTGCACTTAAAAGTATAAAACAAGCTCCCCTCACCCCTTAACATTACCTCGCCTGGGCTGATGATAACTTTTAATTGAACTGTTCTCATCCATCGTGAAAAATAATCTTTATTTACAAAATTAATATTTATTTGAATTAGATATATGTACATAGTGTGGAAATTGAATTATTCCTTGCAACAGAAAGTAAGCAAATTCTGTTAAACTTCAAAAATAGACAGTTTCTGAAACACTATCAAGAAATCTGTTTTAAAATGAAATATTGTCAATTTAATTTAACTATTTAAAAGTTGAATAAATTAGAAACTATTCAGTATAATTAACACGGCGCAGCTAAATAATAGCCATGATCATAATGAGTTCTTTGTGATCATCAGCCCAGGCGAGGTAATGTTAAGGGGTGAGGGGGGCTTGTTTTATACTTTTAAGTGCACTTGCCTCACCTTAGATTTTTTACTTTTTCAAGTTATATTTTATTTTATATGCGTTATCAATTGCCGAACCTAAGAGTGTTTTTTGTAAAAATATTTATTTGTTGTATTATCGTATTTTTCCCGGATTCGTCACCACCTGGTAGTAAATTTGTAATCAATTAATTCCAGAATAATTTCGCTAAATGAAATATCTACAATCTTGTATAAGATTGAGAAATTAAGAAATTGTAAGTACGTGAATTGATATCAATACATAAATATGTTGACCTAATTCAGATTTCAACCTGAAAATTTTCTGCTTGTTCAGGTTGCACAAAACAACATCACAATATTCTCAATATATATCTAATTAATTACCGAGAAGTAGCAAAGTAAAGTCTTTGCTTGACCGCAAAGCTTCTTCTGCCAAATACTTATCAATCTCCTTGGACCGTGCTACGGCAGCCTTTTCCTCGATGGACATTGTGCAACCCATCTTTGATTAGCTAGGAATAAGTTCGAAAAATAAATTAGAAAAATAGGAATTAAAATAATTGCACTCTTTGTAAAGGATGATCACATCGAGAAAGTGGGTGAGTAATTTCTCAGATGGAATCTCTTAAACGTACAGAAACGTGTACATAAGTATTAGTTGAGTAGAATTTGGCAATATCCAGTAACGTATTGACCATGTATGATGATCAAAAGTAAAGTGGGTATGCGAAAAGATCCCACATTCCCGTATTCGGGTTTTTGGTCGGGTATTTACGTTTCACTATACGGTAAAATTATTTTGTCAGTGGTAATGTGTGAGATGCAGGTTACGTATCAGAAAACAATGGATGAACAGTGGCTGCTGAATGCAATGTAAGTGCTGGGACATTTACGCCACGAAATCTCTCCGTAAAAAATAACGCCCTATCCTCTCCTATACTATAATGTTGACGGCCTTTGGAGGATTAGATTGTGAATATTTTGCGTGATAAAAGTTTTTATATGTAAGCATGCACTCGTTGCGAAGCACGAGGTTGAGTGGTTTTGCACTTTCCTGCAGTTCATGTTAAGAGTAAGATTAATTTGTATGCAAAAACATTCATATTTTATGAATTTCCTAAACATAAGGTGGTCTTTTGACCTCCATCATATTTTTTCCAAAGTGCATGAGGAGGTCGAAAGACCTCATTTCTTCGCTATTTCTATGAGGTTTCTGGGAAACTCGGTTACTATCCCGACTCGTGGCTTATGGAATAATCCTGTATATGTGTCTGTCACATCATACTTGGTGGCAAAAGACTTAATTTTTTTTACATATATATCGGTCAGGCCTATTTTGAGAACAAAATAGCTGAATACATAGCTTGGTGACTGGGGCCATGGTAAATTGTATTATACAAGTTGTACAAAGAATCAACATTTTGCCACTTAATTTTTTTAATCTCAGAGAAATATTCCTAAGTCTTGATTGCCATTTAAGATTTTAATATTCATCATGTATTCTAATATCCACTTTGCTATTCATTTCTATAAACTTTAGGATAATTTTAAGAGGTACTTTTGCTACGTAAATTGTTAATATGACTGTACTGGAAAAAATGTGAGAAATTTGAAAAGGCTTCCTTTTCCCTGCTATAACTCTAAAGGAATGCTGGTCAGTGTAGTGAGAAATTTCAAGCTACATTCACAATAAAGTTTGGAGACAATGTTCAGTTTTGCTCGAAAATACTGTATATACGGATAAATTATTAATCATTATCTACAATGGGCAACAATAAGCTGTTCGTACCTCTCTAATTAATTAAAGTCAGATTAGATATAAAAACACCAGTTAATCACCTCATTGCATAGCACAATGAAATTTTTCACTCTTACCAAGAAGTGTTTTTATCGGCAAACCTACTTAACATTTTTCATCACATCACCTCATCATCACCTCATGTCATGGTGAAATCATAACTATTTCAATTAAGCACGCGTTATAATTTTGGGCAATATTTGGTAAGGTAGATAATGTCAACTCTATTTAATTAATTGCGTACCAACCTTGGAGGCGACAAGGCGTAATTTAACACTTGGTGCAAAACTTAAAAAATGGAAGACTTTTGTGGTTCTGAATTTTGGGTAATTCTTGTATATAAAATGTTTTATTTACATTTTTACATAAGTAATTTATGTAATTCAAAATATTTTATCTATAAACCACCCAATTTTTGTTAAATATTTAATAGATCCGAAATCTCACCTGGGATACTACAGATCCATACTTTTCACCATGTTTCGAATCTACCGTCTTAACCTGGCTTCCAACCGCTTTTCTCATATTCTTTGCTCCATTTGATATCAATTTTTCCATTAATTCGAAACGAGAACGAATTCGTTGGAAATTATTGAGTATTTTACAAAGTTGCGTTACCGTATGTCTACTAATTGTTGGGATTGTTCATCTCATAATAATCCAAAAGTATGACGAGACTGGAGCCGTGGATAATGTTGCTATTGCATCGAGGCTGATTTCTTATGTAAATATGTTTATAAAAATAAATTACAAGTTTTATAAACATGAATTAAATTAATTCTAAATGTTTCCTAGACTCTAGCCCTTTCTCTCTTAGCGTTATCAAAAAACAAAGGAATTAGTGCTTCAGGGACACAATGGTTATTTTGGGCGTTCGCCATGACCTGTGAGGCGATCCTTTTTCGAACCGCAGTTCGAAAATATGACGACACATTGGAACAAGTTTGTGTTATTTTTGCTTGGTCGTGTGGGATTTTGTAGTAATATTCCTGTCCCTAATATTGCAGTCAAAATTACGTCACGTTTACCTCACGCGGCTTATGATCTTCCCACTAATTGCTATTCAGCTTATCTTGCATTCCTTTGCTGATAACGGTAACACCAGATGTTGTGGACGAAACAGTGATGATGCTCTAGTTGGAGTAAGTGAATTACTTCAAATTTTTAAAATGTCAACGGTACATAATTTAACTTGATTCCAGAACCCGTGTCCTGAGAAAGAATCTTCATATCTTTCCAAACTAATTTATTCCTGGTTTGATACTATGGTCTGGAAAGGGTACAGGAGACCACTTGGCTTTGACGACTTGTGGAATTTGAATGAAGATGACACGGCAGAAGAGCAGGTACTCCGATTTAGCAAATTTTGGGATGCGGCAGTCCAGGAGGCTAAAATGTATGAAGAACTGTACTTTCTCAATCCGAATTTATTTATTTACTACGCCATTATTTACAGGAAATCCTTAAAACCTGGCAAAGAAAAACTTGAAATTAGTATAATTTCCATCCTTTTTAAATGTTTTTGGAAAACTCTGTTTGTCGCCATATTTTTGAAGATTGTCCAGGATTTATTGCCTTTTATTTCCCCCGAGTTACTAAAGTAGGTGGACATATAGATTAACGTAATCGTTGCTCGGTACAATTGATCTGATCTGTTTTAGACTTCTGGTCGCTCACGTTGCCCCTGACAGCCTCGAAGAATCTTGGAAAGGCTACCTTTATGCTGCATTACTTTTAGCTTGTTCCGTCCTGCAGACTATACTATCCGTACAGAGTATGAAACGAATGATGTTAATTGGAATGAGGACCAGAACAGTGCTTTCTTCCGTTATATACCGGAAGAGCTTGCTGGTTTCGTCAGCCTCAAAGAGGGATACTACTGCCGGGGAAATTGTTAACTTGATGAGCGTCGACACCCAGAGATTGATGGATTTGTCAAGTTTCTTTCTAATGGGCTTCACCGCACCGTTGCAGATTCCTCTCTGTATGTACTTTCTCTATAATACGTTAGGATGGTCAGTCTTTGCTGGGTTGGTGGTCATGGTCCTCCTTGTGCCGCTTACAGGTAAATCTATATAAACTAATAATTTGAAGCCATTAAGTTGGCTCTGTAATGGTGCGTGTGAAAACAATAAACCCAATGTATAGTGCTAAAGAGCATTAGTGTGGGACAAGGGGAAACTATATGTGGGGCGAGTTGAAATTGATGCGGTGTACTCCAAAAATTAACATATACAACAACAGCGCTTTATATATTCCTGTACATTAAGATATGTTACATATTTGAATTTGTAACGTCCACAGGATTTACTCAGGGCAGAGTACGTGCCTTACAGATGAAACAGATGGTTGTGAAGGACGGCAGAGTTAAACTAATAAATGAAGTCTTAACTGGAATGAAGGTACTCAAACTCTACGGATGGGAACAATCTTACACAGATCAATTGACGAAACTCAGAGATCGTGAGATGCATCTTTTAAGGAGGGCGGCCTATTACATGACAAGTACAATGTTCTCTTTTACTTGTGCCCCTCTTCTTGTTTCGCTATCAACCTTTGCCGTATACGTGTTGACTGACGAAACAAATAATTTGAACGCTGAAAAAACGTTTGTCTCCTTAACGCTGTTTAACATTATAAGATTGCCGATAACAATGTAAGGATTGAAAATAACTAATTTACATAAACATACTAGAACCTTTTTTATTTAATGTAGGTTCCCCACCGTAATTGCTCTTATCGTGCAGGCCCTTATCAGCATAACCCGTATAAATCGATACCTCAATTCTGAAGAGATTGAGGAGACTTGCGTCACCAACGAACCAAACAGAGGTGAGTCCATATAAGTTTATGTAATATATAATAAGCATATTTAAAATAGCACATTCTTGCAGATGAACCAATCGTTGTAAGAGATGGCTCATTCTCATGGACAGATGAGAGTACAACGTTAACTGATATCAACATCGCGGTAAAGAAAGGTTCCCTAACCGCTGTAGGTATGATTTCAAGTAGATGACTGATATGGCCACAATTTGATATTTTGTTTATACAGTTGGTACCGTGGGTTCGGGCAAAAGTAGTTTACTATCGGCATTACTCGGCGATATGAAGAAACACAAGGGTTCCGTAAACATTGATGGTACTGTGTCTTATGTCGCACAAACTGCCTGGATTCAGAATGCCAGCTTGAGGGACAACATCTTGTTCAAGGACGGCTTCAAAGAGGCCAAGTATAAAAGCGTGATCGAGGCATATGCTCTAGGTCCTGACCTGGAACTCTTGGATAATGGTGACCTAACCGAGATAGGAGAGAAAGGAATAAATATATCCGGCGGCCAGAAGCAAAGAGTCTCCCTTGCCCGAGCTGCCTACAAAGAGAGCGACATTATCCTTCTAGATGACCCGTTAAGCGCCGTGGATGCGCATGTCGGGAAACACATATTCGATAAACTTATCGGACCCCAAGGATTGCTTCACGATAAAACTAGAGTCCTTGTGACCCACGGCGTCTCATTTCTTCCAAAATTTGATAACATTATAGTCCTTAAAGACGGTAGAGTCAGCGAGACGGGGACTTTCCAATAACTAATAGGAAATCGAGGCAGTTTTGCGGACTTTTTAGCCCAACACTTGAACACAGGAGACGGGGAGGAGATTGACGTAAAACTTGCCGTGGAACTTGAAGAACTAGTCGGGGTGGAGAAGTTGAGAAGGAATTCTTCCAAAGTCATTCTGAAAAAGAGACGATCAACTCAGGAAAGCTTAGGAAAAGAGAATGCTACCCCGGTCAAGCAAGAAATTGCTGAAAAACCAAAACTTATTGAAGAGGAGAAAACACAATCCGGAAATATTCAAGCCAAGATATTTGTCGACTACATAAAGAATGCTGGGCTTCTCATGTCATTATCAGCATTTGGATTTATCCTCCTCTCAACCGCCGCGGCCACTTATGGCAACATCTGGCTTTCTGCATGGTCCAAACAGGCCACGATTGATGAGCAGGAAAGGAATGGAATTCAGAACAGGGATACGACCAATAAATACTTAAGCGGTTACGGTGGACTTGGAGGTATTCAAAGTGTGGCAATCTTGATTGGTGCCGCAAGTATTGCGATTGCAACGTTGAATGCATCAGAGCGATTTCATGCCAACATGTTGCACAAGATTATCCGAGCCCCGATGTGGTTTTTCGACACAACGCCTCTGGGCCGTTTGATGAATAAGTTTACAAAGGATGTCGATATAGCAGATACAGCTTTGCCACAAAGTATTCGAAATGGATTGAACATGTTCTTGAATACGATGAGTGCGATTTTCAACATTGCATATTCTACGCCATTGTTCTTGATCTATATTGCTCCTGTGGCGGTCTATTACCTATTCCTACAGGTGAGTTAGCAATTTATATTTAATTCTTATTTTATAGGAAATTTTCACACATGCAGAAAAGCTTATTATTTCCATAGAGATTTTACGTTGCCACATCCCGTCAATTGAAGCGTCTCGAGTCCGTCTCAAGGTCCCCGATCTACTCAAAATTTGGCGAGGTAATCACTGAATCTACCACTATCCGCGCGTTTGGTCTTCAAGACGAATTCATTTCTGAAAGCCATCAAAAGATTGACGATAATCAGAAGGCATGTTATCCATTTATAGCTTCTAGTTTGTAAGTTATGTTGTTATTTATTTAAACTGCACAGTACAGGAGTCTGAAATATGCCCGCGTTAGATGGATTACTACCCGCTTGGAGACAATTGGAAGCTTGATCATATTTGCATCAGCAGTATTTGCCGTGGCCTCAAATGTCGACCCTGCAATTGCGGGTTTGTCTATTTCTTCTGCCCTCCAGATAACCGTACTTTTAAACTTCTTGGTGCGACAAGCCTCCGATCTGGAGTCCAACATTGTCTCTGTCGAGAGAATGAGTGAGGTCAATGACACACCACAGGAAGCCGCTTGCCAGACTAGTTTCCGACCTAAGAATGAATGGCCGACGCAGGGCAGGGTTGAGTTCGTGAATTACGAGACTAAATACCGCGAAGGACTTGATTTGGTGCTGAGAGGGATTTCATGTACTTTTAATCCCGGTGAAAAAATTGGAATCGGTATGCTAAATAGTAAATTTACAACTTTAGTAATTCCTTTAACGTTACTGTATATACCGTTTTTGATGTATTTATAGTGGGGCGAACTGGCGCGGGGAAATCATCTTTAACACTGGCACTATTCAGATTAATTGAGCCTACCTCCGGCAAGATTATAATTGATGGTCAAGACATCACGGAGATTGGATTGCACGATTTAAGGTCAAAAATCACAATCATTCCGCAGGATCCAGTACTTTTCTCAGGTATATTAAGGACAAACCTAGATCCTTTTGATGCCTATACTGACCAACAAATCTGGGACTCTTTGGAATCTGCTCATTTAAAATCTTATATTATGACCTTGCCACAAGGCCTACAGTATGAGGTGGCTGAGGAGGGGCAAAACTTCAGCGTAGGTCAGAAGCAACTTATTTGTCTAGCTCGCGCATTGCTAAGGAAAACAAAAATACTTGTGCTAGACGAGGCCACTGCGGCTGTCGACTTCATTGTCGAAACGGACGACCTCATTCAGAAAACAATTCGGCAAGAATTTGCGGATTCGACAGTGATAACGATTGCGCATCGGTTAAATACTATTATGGATTCTACAAGGTAATGGCCAGTTTTTTTATTATGTCATGCCCACCCCAGATTTTTTTAATGTACGTATTGGCTTTCTAGAATCGTGGTACTGGACAGGGGTCAAATTGTTGAGTTTAATTCCCCAGAAAACCTAATGGCGGATACGACGTCGATGTTTTACAGTATGGCGAAGGACGCTGGATTAACGTGAGGGATGAATTATGTAATGAATAGCATGTATATACTTTGTAAAAATAAGTAATTCCTACAAGGTAAAAGCCAATCGTTATTATTGCTAAGTGTAACCAACACCCATAATGTTTAGATTATACTTATTTATTTATAAAAAATCAAATTATAATTCCAAAAATATATTACATGATAATGGATTGCATCCAGATTTGTGATGCAATTGCTAATATATTGTAGCAAATTACCACTGGCCTGAAAATATTACTGTTAACATATTATGTAACATTGCAACAATCTGGTATGAAATGAAACAACAATGTAAGCAAATTCCAGTGTTAAATTATTTATTAGGAATAATAAATAATAAGTTAAGAACTAACTAGTTTATAAATTATAATAAAAATAATGGTTAAATATGATGTCTTAAAGATAAAAATACTCCATCAGAATTACAATTGTAACTAAATTCAATACATTCATGAATTTCTAAATCCTTTACATAATTTATAAATATTATCAATGACATTAACCCTGTAACTAAAATAATGTCGGTCAAACTGTTCTACTTTTAATTGATTAAGCAATAAATAACAAGTTTTAGCCCGAACCAAGGGCTTATGTACCCGTCGTGTCTGTCTGTCCGTCTGTCCGTCTGTCCATGACACGCTAGCGGATGAACCCCTGAACCGATTTTGACCAACATGGTCTTAAAATGACCGTTGGGGCAAGGCCTTGGATGAGTTCGAAGATGAGCAAAATCGGTTGAGTGGTTGACCGGTGGGGGTCATATAGGTGGTGGGGGTATTATGCACGAAAATTTCAAAATGGTCGTAGAAAGCTGAAATTCGGTACAGAGGCCATTAATGGTATCTAATGAAAGAATACGAACTAAAATTTTGAAAATTTTCATCTGAAGGGACCCTATAGGGTGACCCCCACCGATTTTGAAATATTGTCCTATAAGCTTGAAATTTGGCATACAGGACCCTGATGGCTTCAAATGATAGAATATGAAGTGAAATTGGAAAAAAAATCAGCTAGAGGAACCCTATGGGGTGACCCCCACCGATTTTCAAATATTGTCCTAGAAGGCTGAAATTTGACACAGAGGCTTCTAATGACTTCCAACGAAAGAATATAAGGAGAAATTAGAAAATTTGTCACATTGATATACCCTGCTGGGTCACCCATACTGATTTTTCATAACCCTCCAATTGAGTTAAAATTCGGTTTGAGGATTGATATTGACATGCCATGAAAAAATATGATGTAAAGTTTGTAAATTTTTCAACCGCAGTGACTATTGGGTTGACTCGCACTGATTTTTAAAATTTGTGGTATTATATTAATCTAAAATTGATGCCTACTAGTTGTACTACTTAATCGGACAATCTCTGAATTAAACGGTATATAATCGGACAACTTCCTTGGTTCGGGCTATGCAAAGCTGTACTGAGAGGTTTTATCATCTGTAATAATAAATTCAGAGATGATTCCAAATTTTGGGAATACACATCCTTGTCCGAAACAAACAATAAAATTTTGCTTATAATTCTAATTATTATACCATATTTGATTGGTTGTACAAATTTAAGTCTCCGGATCACAATTTTCGAAACCTTTTATTTGACGTAAGAGCTCAATTGTGTCAAATGGATTTAAAAACTGAGATAATTTCATATTTAAAATATTCTTAGCTTTTAAATCATTTGTTGAAATATTTTTTAACATTACGGCAGCATATTGTTGGTGACGCATGGCAAGCGTGTAGCAAATGTTTCTAAAGTTTTTGGCATGATTCGCTCATTGAGCAAAATAATTGTGTTTTCCCTCGAATCTCATCGTCCAAAGAGAAATCAAGGGACCACTTTGTCTAATTACATAAGAGTAGTGGCACATAAAATGGTGTTTAGGAATTAAACGATTATTGGGGAACAATTCTTTTTTGGAATGGTGTGAAATAATAAGCTAATCTAATCTAAAAAGAATTGCCTCAGAAAAGTTTCTACAAAAAATGATACTAAGTATTTCTAACAGCAAAAGAATCAATTCCCAATAACGTTTAGCGTCGTCTGTACATATGAGATCGCCAATAATGATTGGTAAATGTCTTATCAGATACCATGCTTGTGCAGCCTTTTGCCCGATCCGGTTGCCACTATGGTATGGGCATTTTAATTATAGACAATTCTTCCTAAAAGGTTATGTGGCCGACTTCGCAATGCCTAATAACATGGACAATTAAAATTTGAAATACTTTCTCATTTTACAATCGATTTTAAAAATCTCTACTGTTTTGGAAACATATGAGCCTTGTGCAAATTACGTATTGTCAGATTTTGAAATTTCGGCCACACCCACTAATAATCAAGGTCACAAGGTCAGACAAACATCCATTCTTCTAAACCGATTAAAATGATAAAATTATAATATTTGTCTGCAGATAAGACTATAATTTTTATCACCGGAACTTAGGTCATCATTACAGGTCACGAAACCATAACTCAGGTCATTGTGGGGGTGGTCAGTGGGAGTGGCAAATATTTAATTATAAAAATTTTAACATCCTAGGTCATTAACTTTTAAATTAAACTCGACCTATACGTCAAATTGCCACGCGTGTAGTCTGGCTACGTCGATGAAGGCCCACACCCCCAGTGGGTGTGGTCATCGACGCTTTCGTTACGTTTCATACAAACCACGGCATGCGACATATCATTCTACTCAGCTCCACACGGCGAACTCGACAGTGGATCTGAACTTCGAAAATTGACAAACCACACCCCCCAGTGGGTGTGGTCACCGGCGCTTTTGTGGTTATTTAAGCTAACCATGTCATGCGACACATAATTTTTATCAGAAGAGAAAGGCCGTTATCCCCTTAATCTCTAGTTTTGAAAAACCTCGCCCCTATAATAGTGGGTGTGGTTTTCAGCGCTTCTAGTAACTCCTAATCTAACCCTATAATGCGACACTTATTTTTTATCACAAGAGAAAGGCCGTTATCCCTGTTACCTCCTATTTTCGAAAACTACACCCCCTCTCATAGTGGGTGTGGTTATCAGCGCTTTTGAGTTTATTAAATTAAACCACCACATGCGACACATATTTTCAATCACCGTATATAGGCCATTATTTCTGTGCCTCCAAATTTCGAGAACCACACCTCCCATCCTGCTGGGTGTGGTTATTAGATCTTTCACAGATGCTTGATGAAATCATAACATGCTACACATATTTTTTATGACGAGAGGAAGGATAATAAGCCTGGGATATTTGAGGGTGTGTCTTTCACCGAAAGAAGGTTATTGCAACGATCCAACCAAACGTAATCAAATTGACGTGACGGATTTTCAAATTACCATAGTTACTTTCATCAATGGAAAACAATTTTCCTCGATATTAAAATTTTTGAGTAGCTATTTATTTAACTTGGGCAGGGGCACATATATGAAATGTACATTTAGTTTGACTGCATTTAAACTCAAAATTGAAATCTTGACACGCATTTCAATATCTTTGACGTATTTCTCCATGGGGAATAAAGGTCGCTCCGCCCTCAACCGTGATCAAAACTATGACACAAGAAATGGTTTGCTTTATTAATACAAGAAGCGCTGACGACCACACCCACTATGATGGGGGTGTGGTTATGGGAAATTTGAAGCTAACGGGTTAAAGAACTTTCTATTGTGATAAAAATATGTTTAGCATATTATGATTTAATGAAGTATCTTTGAAAGATCTAATGACCACACCCACCAGGATGGGCGGTGTGGAGACACAGAATTAATGGCCTACTTACGGTGATTAAAAATATGTGTCGCATGTGGTGGTTTAATTTAATAAACTCAAAAGCGCTGATAACCACACCCACTATGAGAGGGGGTGTGGTTTTCGAAAATTGGAGGTAACAGGGATAACGGCCTTTCTCTTGTGATAAAAAATATGTGTCGCATTATAGGGTTAGATTAAGTGTTAGCAGAAGCGCTGATAACCACACCCACAATTATGGGGGTGTGGTTTTTCGGAATTCTGAGTAAAAGGGTTAACGGCCTTTCTCTTGTGATAAAAATATGTGTCACATGTCACGGTCATCTTAAATAACCACAATAGCGCCGGTGACCACACCCACTGGGGGTGTGGTTTGTCAATTTTCGAAGTTCAGATCCACTGTCGAGTTCGCCGTGTGGAGCTGAGAAGAATGATATATCGCATGCCATGCTTTGGATGAACCATGGCGAAAGCGCCGTGGGCCACACCCATTGGGGGTGTGGCCATTTATCGAAGTAGCCAGACGACACACAGCGCAATTTGACGTATGGGTTGAGTTTAGTTTAAAAGTATGACGTATGATGTTAAAATTTTTATAATTAAATATTTGCCACTCCCACTGACCACACCCACATAGACCTTAGTGAGGATTTCGTAACCTTTTGGCGTATAATAATGACCTAAGTTCCGGTTATGAGAGTTATAGGCTTATCCCCGGACAAATATTAAGATTTCATCATTTTAATTGGTTCAGAAAAATTGATGTTTTTCTGACCTTGTGACCTTGATTATAAGTGGGTGTGGTCGAAATTTCAAAATCTGAGAATTTGTATTTTGCATAAAGGTCATATGTTTTCAAAACAGTCGAGATTTTTGAAATCGGATGTAAAATGAAAAAGTATTTCAAATTTGAATTTTCAATGTTATTAGGCATTGCGAGGTCGGCCACTTACGGATTTTGGAAAAGGGCAAAATTGTCTATAATTTTAATTCCCGTACCATAGTGTCCAATCTGATTGGACTTGGACGATGTTTTGAATCTAAATAACCATAGCCATACGAAATAATTCTTTGGTTGATTTTCTCTAAATTAAAACAATTCAATGATATTAAATTCTGCAGAACAAGTTTAAGTTCATACGACACCACTCCTTCAAGTAAATCGTGCATTATATCCACTGAAGGTGAATCTAAAAAAATGAAAATACTTTAGTTCATTTAACAAACACGAGTTTTGTACCCCAA